AAGCAAAAACTCTAAGCGAGACCTATGCAGTCTGTGACCTCCAAAACCCCCGTCTTTTCTTGTCAGTTCTATGTCATTTGTGCAGTTGAACTCCACCAATTTGAAATTCTGACCTCCTCCATAGACAACCGTATTCTCCTTGCGTGAAAGAAAAGGCCTGGGCCGACAAACCACTCAAGCGGGAGATGGCAAGGAAAGAGAAAAGTGGTCGACTCGTAAATCAATTTCCACAGCCCACCCAAAACCCACACACACATTGAATTTGTATAAAATTTTTAAAAAATTGCTGAAAGGGTTGATGAAGAAGAGGCCTCCATGAACAGCTAAAAAAATATGAATTGGAGTCAGAAAGAACGGAAGCGGAGTCTCTGCTCCCTGTGAGCTATAACAGTGTGGAGGCCCCTCTTTCCTCACACCTGGCCTCTCTGAGGTTTGAAAAGAAAAGTTGACAATAAAATGAAGAATAAAATTTCTTGTCACTGCTAAAGACAACAAAAGAGAAGGGTTTGCAGGGAACTGGAAAAATAGGAGTTAAGCCATCGAGACTAAGAGCTGAAACTATAAGATTTGGGTGTGTATTATGACCCAGGTAATAGTTGTTGTGTGTGCCTTGAGAAAATGAACAAGTATTTCCCATTGATGGTCTTTAGTCCTGGCTGCTTAAAATATAGAACTTAGCTAGAAATCTGCAGATTTATGTAGCTATTTTTAATACTATCTACCATCACTATTCAATCATAGAGCTTTTCTAGTCATTGCCAAATATCAATCATGTACACTGCCATTTCATCAAAATTTACATGCATTGAAAATCACCTGTGTTTCTGCACCAGACACTGAGGACATAAAATATGGTCCTTTCCCTAGATGCCTAACAACTTAGCGTGCAAATAAAATATAAAGTCTACCTTTTACAAGGAAAAAAGTCACCGGAATGGAAATGACTCTCTCTCTTAACACACGAATCTCGTTTCTCTATTCTTCCCTTCCTGTGACCCCTTTGTTCTCACTACTTGATGGTCTGCACTGAGAAGACAATTTTTGACTGAGACTGCATTTTGCTAGAGGCTATTCTTTCTGTTCCCTAGACCTCCCGACTTGAAAGAGTTAAAAAGAATAGCTCTCTTCTTGTGCTGTGAAGTTGAGTTTCCCCATTATGAGGCACACTCTAATGAACTCTTTTATTTCAGCTACTTTCAAGATTCATGAAACATTGTTAGACAATTAATTAATGAGGATTCACAGACTGTTATAGCTGAGTGAGATAAAGCATCGTGGAGTTTCAGGCTCCTTTTCTTAAGGGGTATTGTTCTTCAAGCTACAAAATGCTCATTGTAACTTCTGGTGGCCTCTACAACATCTCTCTCTCTCTCTCTCTCTCTCTCTCTCTCTCTCTCTCTCAGATTATCAAATAAAGTGGTGATAGAAGTTTGTCTGAACTTGAAACACAGTTCCAAGTTGTTTTGCTTTGACCATTTCTTTATCCTAGAGCAAAAAAGAACTCTAAAGAAGTTACATAATGTCATGAAAGGACAATAAATAACAACAAAGCACATGTATGCATCATGGAGAATGGGACTAACTTGTTTAAATGGAATCAAGGAAGACTTCATAGAAGCACATGCATGCATCATGGAGAATGGGACTAACTTGTTTAAATGGAATCAAGGAAGACTTCATAGAAGCACATGCATGCATCATGGAGAATGGGACTAACTTGTTTAAATGGAATCAAGGAAGACTTCATAGAAGCACATGCATGCATCATGGAGAATGGGACTAACTTGTTTAAATGGAATCAAGGAAGACTTCATAGAAGCACATGCATGCATCATGGAGAATGGGACTAACTTGTTTAAATGGAATCAAGGAAGACTTCATAGAAGCACATGCATGCATCATGGAGAATGGGACTAACTTGTTTAAATGGAATCAAGGAAGACTTCATAGAAGAAATACTGTTTGAGACACCATATCAGCAAAACTACTTACATGCAAAGATATAAGGAGGAGGATAAAAAATGTTTGCTGTTTCTAGAGTCAAATGCCTATCAAAATGGCTGGAGATCATGGACAGGGCTGTAGACAGAAGCTGGTCCATGAAAGCACTTCTCAGTCACTCATTAGAATGAGACTTCTTTGAGCTCAGGTGCTATGTTTGTCTAGTCAGTCTTACCCCTGACCTTATTTAGCATTGCAAGAGTTCCATAAAGTCATAGACTGAGTAAAGCAGAAACTATCATGACCCATGAGGAAACTATGCAATAATATTAGGTCCCACTCACATAGTCTGTATATTATTTTCAAAGCACTCTGGCAGCCACAATGTAGCAGGTAGCTAGGAGAGTGACAAGAATCAGGACACTAAGTAAGAGGCAAAGGTCCCAGGAGAATTGATAATTTCCTGAACAAAAGTAGAAGAAGTGGGCTTCAGAATGCAGGAGCTGAATGTAAATTATTTTCAAACAATACATTTGTTGTGCTTTAAATTAAATGCTACTGATATTCCCTTCAAATTCTAGATACCTTCACTGACAAATATCTTTAAATATAAAATCTAATGCCTGTAATCATAATCTAGGTTAGAGTAGAATTTTGAGACCTCATACAAAAACCATTGGACTTAATGTTGTGTACTGGAAAATTACAAAGAAAATGACAAATGACTTGGGTTTCTGGTTGAAACTGTTACATGGATGGCAATACAAAACTAGATTTGAAAAACAAATTAGACATGTTCTTGCAATAAACATTTGTTTTCAGAGCCAACTGGCTATTAGCAAGGGTTGGATTAAGACCTTTAGAAACCCTAGGAATAAGAAAATAGGAAGACTTGTTAATATTTATTGCTTCGTTTTTGGCTGGCCAGATTCTGAATAACCTTCCTTGGATATTAGCAAAGTCCGGTGTCCATTTCTCCCCTCCCTTACATCTACACTTCAACCAGCAATGATACCCAGGCCTGCCTGGATGTGGGCGTGATGGCAAGTGGGACAGAGAAGCAGGGATGAGGAGAAGCCATTAATGTTTGATGGCATGCAGGGCTATGGCAACCGTCCAGATTCTGGATGGTGACACCACCAACATCCAGTGCCTAGGATTGGGGGTAGTGTCCATGCAACCCTTGGTGTCCAGAGACAAGAGCAGCAGAGACTATAGCCTGATCTGACTAGTCTGGGCAACAGATGGTTTGGGCTGCCTTGTGCCTCATTTTTAAGGCTCATGCTCCATCCCTGCATTTAGTATGTTTGGTAATTCTATAAAGTAGCCAAAGTTCTTTTTTATTTAAAAGACTAGAGTTTCTCTTTCTTGTGACTATTTTTTTAAAGTCCGGTTTGCCCCATTTGTACATCAGTTGTAGATCACCGATCATCTTCACACCTTTATTTGATGACTTTGTGTTTATGCATCTTCTCAACAGGTGAAGAAAATGAGGCTATGTGAGGATAAGCAACCTCTTCAGGTCGACACCAGGTTTCTTTGACAAAAATGGAAAATGCCGTTTTCCTATGCCAAGCAAACAGAGGCCCTTTTATTACTGTCTTGCTCATTGGTTCACTTGTGAATTAAGCAAATCACTTCTCTTCACAGCCAGTGGAGGAAAGGGCTCTGTTAATCCTTACCAGCTTCTTGACATTTTTTCTGGCCTCTTTTATCCCTGTCCAGGTGGCTTTATTTTTCATTTGAAAATGTCATCACCACGTCATTAGCAATGTGCTGTTACCTGACAGTAGGAAAGCTCATCCCCAGGCCATATGGCCGAGTTGAATCTACATGGTCACGGTGTAATCCCGTTGAAATGGCTTCCCTTTGCAATCAAAACCGAATTTCACACTCTAGCAAGATGGGGACAGCTCTTGTCTTCCCAGGAGTAATATAGATCTCCCCAGGCAGCCAAGGCCAATGGAAATGGCTTTCTTCTCCAGGCTAGCAGCATGTGGGGGCCAGGGCTAGGAGGTCAACTTGAATGGGAAGAGGTGGAGGGGGGAGTGGAACACTAGGGGAATCAGAATCCAAAGCAATTCTCTCCATTCAGTTCCTATGGATGACTGTCAGGGATGGTCAACGCAAGTAACTTGGAGAAATAAATGTATGAAATATGTCTGTAAACTTTATGGCATAGGTGGCTTTTCTAAGTTACTGAGAGCTGTCATTTCTAGAGTTGGCTATCTGGTACATTCTCCATACACACAAAAGTTGTAATGAATAACTGCCTATCCACTGATTTCTATCAACGTGATCTAGTTGCTTAAAAGTCTGGGAAAATTTAGCAAAACTCACTCATGCTAGTTACCAGTATGAGAATTACCAATAATAGTAAATATGACACCAAATTCAATGTCTTTAGTGAAGTAAGACAAGCTGAGTAAGAATGAGATAACTCTTTTCCTTGTTTATCACATTTGTTGTGGTAGTTTGGCATTTTACTATATGTTAAAACTTTTGTGTCACCTTAGGACATTCTCATAAACGTACATATTGAGCATATTTGCTTTAAAAAAATAAACATCATTGTCAATATTGTTTGTTTAAAGGCTGGCAATATGCAATGATGTTCATGGAAGTTGATACTCACACTACTGATGAAGTCATAATTGATTCAACCTTTCTAAATTCCATGGGAGAAAATAAATCCAATTTTCTCTGACAATGCAGTTTTCTTCCAATAGATTTGTCCTGAGAACAGAATCGTGCACATGCAAAACTGTTTATAAAAGCATTCATGTGTTGAACGTAGCAAAAGAAGAAAAGAAAGAAGCCTTTGCAAAAATACGCAGAGGGCTAAAATGTCACCCATGTTCATCACCATCTAAAGTTATGTTATAGGAAACAAAAGGTCCATAAATATATGACTGCTAGAATTTGAGTTTCTGTCTTACCATACCACCTTGAGGGATGGGGTCAGCATGTATTTTTCACTTCTGTATTTTGGTGGCTTAGAACAGAATCTGAGAAAATATTTGTGGATTTAGTAATGAAATAAGTAAACAATAGTATGGTAGTTTTGTCCTATCTTACTGTATTTTATTTTCTATATTAAAAAATGGATGAATGGATAAATGAACAAAAGAGTCAATGAAAGCATAGCCACTGGTGGTAAAAGCTAACAACTGAATTGTGACTGACACCAGTGGAGAGAGGGAAATTCATTATCTCCAGTAGAGTGACACTAGGTATGTCAACCACTCCAGGACAGCTCATATTCAGAAGCTGTTGCCTAACATATAATGGTCTCCACAGTTTTTGCGTGTGTGTGCTTTTATTTGGTTACAGTTTGGTTGTTTTACTGGAGGTGGGTATTTATTTGTTTTCTTGGTTTTGGGGAGTTTTGTGTCTTGGGGTTTTATCTGTTTTTGAGAAAGAACTAAAATTGGGTGTATAGAGGAGGGGAGCAGATCTGCAAGGATTTAGAGAAGGGGGAGAATGTGGTCGACATATTTAAGTTTAAAGTTGTTTTAAATAACCAAAACTATTGTAATAAAACTTCTTTGGAATTACATACAATTTTGAGACCGTGCAAATAATTATGTGAACCAGTATTTTAAAGTTTCAACTAATTTCATATATTTAGAATTATTAAAAATTCTGCAAAAATACTGTCTGCTATCTGCTCTTTGAACTTATCTGATTGTTTTCCCTTAAAAGCAAGTACCCAGAACTATATTAGGATTAGCAGATTTGTTGTCATTTTTAGATGATCTCTGGTAACAAATGAGCTACACACAGGAGTAAATATTCTGCTTAGATGTCAACCAGTAGATGTCCCTAATTTATGTGACTAGTGAAGCAGGGAGACATTGCTGAAGGTGTAAAGGGCATACATCAGTGACCTTTGGGTCACTTCAGCAGAAGGAAGTGGTTTAGAAAAGCATGATGTTCCTACTGCTTCCAAGTGATGTATCCTCCAAAGAGTGGCGTTACTCCAGGAAGTGGAGGCATGAGTACGTTCTGAGCCCTAAAGCTGAACTGCCCCAGCTTGGTCTTCCCAGGGATAAAACATTTGGTCATGGTGGTTTTCCTGGTCCATGATTGGTATGATTCTTCGAACTCTTTGGTGTCCACTTGAGCTGTCCTAGCTCAGATGCTTGTGTAGGGGAGGCCAGGGTCTTGCTCATCAGATCAGTCCATATTTCAGACATTACTATAATCTGAAAGCATTCAGACAGCATATTTGCATAAATACCCTCTTGTTTCTCCATCCCTCCATCATTTCAGCCAGTGGTCCATGAGATGATGGTTGTGACTCTGAAGGCAAAGATGCTTTCCTAGGGAAAAAGGAAAGAGAAAAACTTGAGACAGACCAAGACGTTTGGAAACTGAAGCATCAAACAGAGAACTGGTATAAAACCGAGAAGCTGAAAAACTTTGGCACAATTAAACATATTTGATTAGACTGTAACTTTTCTTAACCTTTTCTGTCTTTATTGGTGTTTGGAAACTGGAACAGCTAATCAGTAGGTAGAATCAGAAACAGATCCTGATGCCAATCCTGGAGTTTAGATACCAAATCTAAAAGATTTTACCATGATTCAATGGGATTCATGGTTATCTCCTAAATCTCTATGTATGGTTTTCTGATGCCTGTGGAGGGCATCTGTAATCTGTAATCTGACCCACTCTAAAATGTAAAGAGGATACCAAGAGATCCTGAGAAGGAGCAAGAGTAGCACCTGATTCAAATGGCCTGTGTTCATTTTCTCCTACCAAAGTTGTCGCTTCATGGGGTTTCAATTTTGTCTTCCATGAAATGGTTGACAATGATCCACCTGCCTCTCTATGGAAAAGTAAGCAACAAACAACAGCCACTGCTCTTACAGGAAGCTGATAACTGACTCTCCTCTTGGAAGCACTTAGGAGTCTAGGTAATACTCAGAACACAGTCTCTGCTCTAACTTGAGCAGCGTCAGCAGTGTGAACAGCACAGAACCCAGCACCCTGTAATATTCCCTATAAGTCAGCTATAGTTCAGTGTGTTATTATAGATGTTGCTGAATGCATGCATGTCATATGCTTTCTTCATAAAAATGAAAGACTGACTCCTATTTCATTTTCATCTGACTTTTTTTGACCATCTAAAGTAACTTCATGCAAAGCACTTTCTCACAGTTTATTTTACTCTGGTTTTACCATGGTCCTAGCAAGTAGCTATTATTATCTCCACTTATGCAAATAAAGGATCCCAAACCCCTGGGATCCTAACTGGATCTCTTGATGTGAAATCAAATATCCTCCAGAACAAAATAGTGTTTAAAGAAATCACAATGGTCTTTTTAAAGAGCCCCTCCCTCTGTCCCTTCCTCTCTCCTTTCTTTCCTCCTTCCCTCCCTCCCACCTCCTTGCCTCTTCCCTTCCTTTTGCAAGCTCATGACTGCCAAGCATCCTTTGCCAAAGCCCACTCTAAACCAGATGTTCTTAGTGTATTAGTTAGCGTCCTCACTGCTGTGACAAAACACCTGTTGGAAATAACATGAGGGAAGAGAGGTTTCTCTTGGCTCACAGTTTCATGGATCCAGTCAGTCGTGGCAAGGGGTACACGGTAGCAGGACTCTTGTTTGTCTGTGGCAGCAGAAGCATGCTGGCTGCAAACAGGAAATATAGCTAGATCAGAAGAAGGACCCTTAACTCTCAAGGCCTACCCCTTAAGGGTCCCTCTGTCTGTCTTCTTGTCCCTCTATGTCCCAAAGGCTTCACAACTTCTCCAAACAGCACCACCCACTGGGATACCCAGCATTCAAACACATATTCATGAGGTGGGGAATTTACATTCAAAACATAATACTTGGTACTGTACAGAAGATGGCTAAGCACATGCTTATGTACAGGTAATACCTTTAGGAGCACAATGCAGCATATTGCTCCCTGCAGAATATGGTGGAAAGTCTACAGAATTTGGAGATGGGCAAGCCTGAGTTTAAAGCCTGTCTCTGCCACCACCTATAGCTGTATGTCTATGGATAAGTCACACTGCCTCTCTGACATACTGTTCTTCACCTATAAGGTAGCTATAATAGATGCCACATGCTAGGGTAATATACAGTCTTAAAGGACTGCTCCAGTCATAAACAAGATATCTGGAAAATATTGACAGACATGGTGGTTCACACATTTAATCCTAGCACTAGGAGGCAGAAACAGGCAGATCTTTGTGAGTTCAAGACTGGCCTGGTCCGGGGCAGGGTGGTGGGTGGTAAATAAAACAAAAGAAAAAGAATATAGTCGTGTATACATGTTTTAACCTTTCCCTTATAAAACAAACAAAAAGGGGCTGCCGTGGTGGGCAAGAGCTGTGTATTTGCAGGACTACCTGTTGTGACCTCTCCCTGGGACACCTTGAGCAGAAAGTGGAAACTGGAGACATCTCCATGCACCTAAACTCTTAACAGAAACAACACTCCTGTGGACCCTAGCTCCTGTGGCTTGCAAATCCTTGCTCCTTTGGCTGGCGACTTCAAGGGGTGGAGGGCCAATTCGCCATGGCGGTTTGTGTGTGCAGCATGCCTGACAGGCTGGGAGAGGAAGGCGTTAATGTTTTCTGACAGGCGACCCCTAATTGTGGGAGCTTTTCTTCTGGGGTTTTCTGTGAAATTCTAACTTAGGCGAGCAGCATAACGAAGCGCTAGGGCATTGAGCAGGGCTTGCCCTACACTGAGCCGGCGAGCTGGGGGTGGGGGTGGGGGTGGCCCGGGATTATTCATGAAGACTTTTCAGCTGGTTTTGTCTTTTAACTAACCTTTGAGTTTGATCAGAGGGCTGGCAGGCCTCTCTTTCGCCAAAGGCTCTGCTGGCACCTGGACAATGGAGACAGACTGTTTTTCTAGTAAAGAAAGATAGCTGGGGGAGGCCGAGCTGTGCGGACTCTCTGAGGGGAGGGGCACACGCCGCCTTTATTTCTGCCTGAATCTTCTGGATAGGGGAGGTTGTTGACAGAATTCTCAACCTCCCAACACCGAGGCCACCCTTCCGTCTGCTGCCTCTCCACTCTCAACAACTCTATCTCTGCCAGCGCACACAGTGGGCAGATTTCCTCACTGGCGTCTCCAGAACCACCCTTTGCTGGGGCGGTCTTCCTTGCTCTCTCTTCCTCCCTACACCCTCTCCCAAGGGGCTTAATGACTGAAGCAGCAGCAATGCAGAAATGTTCGGTTTTGCTGTTGAGATTTTACACCGGAAATGGTGTGTGTGTTGGGGGGTTATAGAATAAGTGAATGGAGAGTAAAAGAAGAAGGAAGAGGGTTGGGTCGATGACGAGGACAGTTCCAGAGAGATGCCGCTAAAATGCGTTGGTCCTGGGGCCGCAGAGCAAAAGGATTGGCCATCCTGTGGTGTCTGGAATTGGGGCTAGGACTCACTGCAGACGCAGGGGTGAGGGAGATGGTTCCTAAGCACCCTTGCTTCTCTGGCAGGTGGGGAGCTTTTGTCTCCTGCATCCACATCCGGTGCCGGACAACCCAGACTGGAGCCCAAACCCCTATGTGACACTTAACAGAAAGTGACTCACTTAAAGAAGCGTGGGTTTGTGGCTTTCCCCCAGCTCATCCCCAAAATAGCCTTCCTAGCCACTGCATCAATGGCTGCTTTGTGAGAGGCTGGCCGCCTGCAGAGGGGGCGCGCTGCCCGAGGTTCTGGGAGCGAGTCCCACTGGGCTCTGCAACCTCTAGCCTTCATTCTCAGTGACCTTCTTCATTTCTCCCTCTCCCCCTCCTCTCTGTCCCTCTTCTCCTTCTCTCCTGGCTTCCCTCCAATCTCTCCTTTTCCTTTCCCTCTCCCCACCGTCTGCCTCCAATTCCTTTGGTCCTGCTCTCACCTCCAACTATTCCTTCTTTTCACACCTCCCTCGATCGGGTCCCCAATCTGCTCTCCCTTCACCTGCCCCACCCCCACCTCCCTTGGTCACTCTCTCCGGATCAGGTAGCCCTGCAAGTCCCCAGCGCACGCAGCTGACAGCGGACGCATGCCTGCAGCCAATCAACTCCCGGATGCGCTGCAGCTTGAATAAATCATTAAGCCCGACACGCGCTCAGGGCTAGCGCTGCACACTGCAACTTGCTTCCTGCCATTAACCTACACACCCTCTTTTGTAACAACCTAATCTTGCATACAAAGGAAGAACGCAGGAAGAACGCATATAACTCGGACCCGCACTAGAGCCCAGCCATTCTCGCACGCCTCAAGCAAAGAACGTTAGTGTCAGGAAACACATTTACTTCCCTCCTTTGGCCTCTGTATCCTAGAATTTCTGGGAGAAATCTGAAAACAGACACTTCTAGGCCCAAGAGTGGAGGAGGGAAGGTCAGAGTCCTCAAAGCAGTAAGAACAGGGAAATACACGCGGTCACTGACTTTAGTGTATGAGAGCAGCACCCGAAGCGTTTGGTTTTATGTTTTATTGAGTAAGACACGGTTCCTAGAGTAAGGACAATGGAGACCCTGAAGTGCTGAGTGAGTGTCATCATCGCCTCTTTTAAGTGAGGATGTGGGTGGTCCCACCTGCCTCAGCCTTTGCTCCCCTTACCTGTGTCAGTGCCATCTCCATACAAGGTTCCAAAAGACCAAGGGGAAAGGTGGCGGTTGAAAGATAGCCACTGGCAGCTCTGAGCCCTCTCCTCTGCTCCCTATTAAAGCTATCTTACATTCCACTGTCATGAAATGGGTAACTTCTTTTCCCAACTTGCAGTTAAGTCATTGCTGGTCCAAAAGATAGAGTGATTTTCCAGAGACGGTGTTGAAGATGGTTCACGTCAAGCTTAGAAAGTCTCTTACTTGAAAACCCTGAAAAATCTTCCAGAAAGCAATCCATCCATTAGTTCCTGGGGCATGATGGTTAAGAAGCATAAGATAACCCGTAGCAGAAGATAGCTGGAAGGGTTCCTTAAAGAAAGGAAGAGTTAATGATCTGACAGAAATATATACAGGTGAGGGCAAGTGAGCCCAGAGAGGCAGCACCTGGACTGCGGAGTACAGTAACTACAGGAAGCTGCCGTCCATCACCTCTGTGCCTGCAAGAGCACTGAACATCAGCAAAGACCGTACCTGTGGCAGAAACAAGTTGACTAGCTGTGGCCTTAGTCCAAAGAGCATCCCTTTCCAGAGCAAGTGAATAAGAGCATAGGGTTACCCCAAACCATCTCCCCTCCTACTCTGTGACCTTCTCCTCATGCCTCTCCCTGGCCAAACCCAGCAAGAAAGCCAGAGAGCAGCAGAGCCTCTGGCAATGGGTTCTGTGTCAGCTTGCTGAGACACAGGGGCAGAAAAAGACCGAGAATAACTCTGGGCGTTAAAGGTGGCAGATGTGAGACACCAGTGAAACACTGCTGACCACCCAAGTTCTCATCTCCAAGCAATTGTTTTCTGGGACCAGGGAGGTGATAATGAGCAAGACAGGTGAGGTCCCTGTCATTAGGCAAAGAACTCACTACTGCATACGTGGCCAGTCACAACAAGCACACTATGAAGCAAACATACAGAGTTTTCTCATGCACACTTAAATCCTAGGGAGAAAAAGAAGGGTAGGCAACAGAAGGTGAATGACAGGTGGAAAGGTGAGGTAATCTGGGAATGCATCTTGTAGGAGAGATGCAAGCTGGGGTTTCTAAGAAAATTGCCTTTGACCTGCTCTGACTCTCAGAAATCATTCTGCGTGGGCTGTTGGTACAGATCCAGTGTGGACTGTGCCTGCAACACATTGATTAGACACATGATAACTAGCTGGGAAGAACACGCAGGCATATTTACACAGGGCCTGCAATTTCCACCAGAAGGACATTTACTAGATCCCTTTGATGTACTTGCTGTGGATACCAAGGAATCAGGCTGTTCCTTCTTGGTGGGTGTTCTAATGTCCCTGTGCAAGGTAGACTGGAGATGCAGGTCTCCCCCGCCCCATGTCAGCCTACTCTCCTTTCAAATTCTAGGTAGAACACACACACACAGAGAGAGAGAGAGAGAGAGAGAGAGAGAGAGGCTCCTACTCCCAAAGTTGAAAGAACGAATTGGGGAGGTGAGACACCTGACCCAGTATCTAATCTACCCCAGGCTGAGGAGTAGTATGCAACTAATTCCCTCCCTCCCTTCCTCCCTCCCTCCCTCCCTCCCTCCCTCCCTCCCTCCCCCCACTATACTTCCTAGCTTCCCCTCCTCTATTGCAGGCCAATTTCCAGCCTTAACTAGTGGTCTTGGTCTCCAAGGCTGTTTGCGAATAGGTAAGATCTCTCAGTCAATAAAGCAAAGCAAGTCTTCCCCAGAGTGCCCCCCCCCCGCAGGGGAGGCTTAAAACCGGGCGGAGGGTGCATGATTGCTGGCCTCTGGGGTCTACATTTTGTATTTCGCTGACAGCCCTAAGTCCGTGGTGCAGCCAATGGGTAGCGGTGATTTATGGAGCTGGCTAATGCTGGCTGAATGCGGCCTGTCAGAGCCCTGTGAATGGCTTCCCTTCGCTGCACAAGCCCTGGCTTTGTGTTGCTAAGCGATTAGAGCAGATGTAATGAGATTTTGCCCATTCCTAGCTTCGGCAAAATTGTGTGTGTGTGTGTGTGTGTGTGTGTGTGTGTGTGTGTGTGTGTTGTGAATTTTTGGAGTTTGCCTTCACACTGTGGCAAACAACTAGCTAACTTTGTCCAGAGTTTAACCAAGACTTGATGTTTCTCATTCAGAAGGGAGTAAAAGAACACCTGTCCTCGCAGGCAAAAGAAGGAGAAAAATCCCTTTTGTGGAGGTTGAAACATTATCCTAATGTTATATTCATAGCCATAAATGACTTGCAACACTTTCTTTGCATACCTTAAGCAGCTAAATCAAATGAAAAGGGAATGGAGGGCGGAGGGGAGAGCCTAGCTCTGGTCTCCCAAATAATATAAAAACAAAGCCAGTACCACGGGAGCATTGCTTCCCCAAGTAAGCTCTAAATTGGCCCACTGCTGGCAGAAAGTCCGATTATTTATGGCGATGGGGAATTTACTGATTTTTTTCCCCTTAATTACGCCCATCTCTGTGAAAGAGACTGAAGCCTCCATGTGCATTCTATAGAGGGTCATTTAGCAAAATGACATCAGACTCTGTGGCATGCTCCACGCATAGTGCTTTTAAAAATGGTTATTCTGTGCCACTAAATGGTATAGATATACCAACACAAACTAGATTTTTAACTCTAGAAGACGTGCCGGCCCTCCGCTCTTTGTTGCGTTTTGTAAGAAGCATTTTGCGCCTGGTTTTCCGCCTGGCTGGACACAGCAAACTGAATCTGCAAGTGAGGCAGCGAGCAAGGAGCCTGCTAGAGGGCGAGTAGGATTCTAAGCACGTCCTTGGTAACTGACAAGAAGCAAGCCAGCCAAAACCCCACCAATTTCTTTTTGAATCTTGGTAATTGGGTACTTTTACACGCTGCTCACGCTATGGGGATAGAGCCACAGGCTTAGATGGGCTGGCGTCTCAAAGCGACCACACATTTGTACTGAATTTACATATTCAAGTTCAATTCCTTCTGCAGGGAATTTTTAATCATATGGGTGTTTTACTTCAACTCAGGATGGAAAGTGTGTATATTGGGGGGAAATATGTATATATTAGGGGAGTGTGTAAAGAGTCTACACCACCCCTAAAGTTTGTTTCTGGAGGAGTCCCGTTCCATGCCTCAACGTTGAGCACTATCCTTCCAAGCCTTCCATGTCCCCACAGTGATAACCTCAAATGGGGAGAGGAGGAGTGTCCCTCCTAGGTTATTGTTGTTTTATTTTAATGCATAGTGTGTGGTAAGATGATGCACCTATGAATTGCTATCTATTTCCCTGCAAGTTGTATATGTGCACTGTGACTAGAAGAGAAGGGGACCCCACACACAACTCTCATAAAGTCACCACTGGAGGAAGGCTGGAGGAACCATTACCCCCCTCTGCTGAGCACCCTTGGTGGCACCCTCCCTCTCTCCTCCCCCCTCTGAGCATTTTGATAGCTTAGCCAGGAGTGTCAGAGCCAAAGAAGAGAAGACTTAGAGGCAGCTGGTCATTTTCTTTTTTTTTATAAAAAAGGAAAAAAGTTTTATTACAAAACTAGTTTGTATAAAACAGGGTTATACATGTTTTTGTAAGTTTGTAATAAAACAGTAAGGGGAAAAGGCAGTGGTAGAAATTTCCAAAAGGCAGCCCAGGGAAACCAACTGGCTGCCACTTTGCGTTTGGACAGTAGCTGCATAAACTTTGTTCTCCTTGAACAGTTTTTAATAACATCATTAATACATTAACAACGCTTCTATGAAGTAAGACACATTGGTGCTGAAGTCATTCTGGTGGCATTAGATCTCACCTGTGAGGAGAGCTCTTTACAAAACCACAGGGGGAAACGGCAGTTGTAAGATGGGCTACACATCTAAAGTATGCAGAGGTAATCGCATTACATGTTAAAGTATCAAGATATACACATTTTAAACCATTTGTACAAAACTTCTATAAATTTTTCTCTCTCTTTCTTATGTACAAAAATATCTTAATATATCCCCAAACTGGTTAGGATAGATACAAATAGATTTTTTTCTTATAATAAAAAAATTCACAAAGATTGGAAGCATTCTATGATGAAAACAGAAGCGAAGACAGTGGGGGAATTAGGGTTTGGGGAGGAGGCCACCAGGACAGGGGAAGGGTGTCCAGGAACTGAGTGTGGTATAACATAGCTGCTTCACTGCAGATGAATGCCCACAGCCGGCTTACTAAGGAAAGAAGTTACCCCAGGTCCCAGGGCTAAGAATTGGCTTAGATGGAGGGCTGGGAGGTGAAGGCACTGACAAGTGCTTTCAGCCCAGTCTGTTAGTGGTTGGCTGGGAGTTGCTGGCAGGTGTGTGTGGCTCTCACGCTCTAGGAAAAGACCCCACTGCTTTTGCACACCGCCTGTGACCAGTCACTCTTCTTGTGTCTCAGAATGATTGGAGTGCAAAGTTACTGTCTGGAACCCAACCCTGTTTGTGGAAAACTTTGAATCTTAGTCGTTTGCCCCTGGAGGTTGGCCGGCTGGTTTGTTTGTTTTCTTTCTTCTTGTTTTCTTCCTCCCTCTCAAAGTCCTTGGCGAGAAACACTAAAGACGCAGGATCTGCTGTCGCTCTGTAACAGAAACAAGAGAGGTTAGAGTGAATTTGGAGGGTAGTTGTAGAGGATGTGCGGGCTTGGGGAGACAGTCTGTCAGGTAAAATATCTCTTTGAACAAGTCAGTCCCAGGGCTCAGTACCTAGGGTCTTGGCACCTCATCTCTACTCTCCGTTCCTTGGAAACTTGGGCAAGGTCACTTTCAGGGGTCAATACTGAAGCTAATGAACTAGGATTTGAAATAGACAAACTTACAGTAATAGCAACCCTTCCGCGTTCCTGGAGACAGCCTCTACTCTCCATGAACCCTCAAAAAGGGGGAAAGGGGCCCAAGGCCAAATGAAACTTACCTACTCCCAAAGCAGGGCTGGACAGCGCCTCAGAACCAGTTGGTGAAGTCTAGCAGCTCTTGTTCCTCTGGACTGAGAGGGTCGTAGGATCCCTCATCGGAGGAGTAGGACGAGACCGGAGAACCCGCCATAGAGTTCATGTCGTTGGAGTAGTTGGGGGAGATGGTGGGCGACAGGACGCCCGCCTGGAAGGCGGCGCTCACCGCGTCGTGTTCGTCCAGCAGCTGCTGCAGAGCTCGGATGTACTCGACGGCTGAGCGCAGCGTCTCCACCTTGCTCATCTTCTTGTTGGCCGCGCCGTTGGGGACGTGCTCCCGGAGGGTGGCAAAGCCCAGGTTGACCAACTTGACCCGGTTGCGCTCGCGCTCGTTGCGGCGCGCCACGGCGGCCGGCTGCTGCTGCGGCAGGCTGTAGCCGAAGCCGCTGAAATTGAGCCTGCGTTTGCAGCGCATCAGTTCGGGAGAGGACGAGCGCTGGCGCTTGACCTGCTTGGCCGCTGATTTGTGACCGCCCCCTCCTGAGGGCTGGCCGTCGGCCACTGGGCTCAGCTGCGGCGCCTGCTGCGGCTGCGGCTGCGGCTGCTGCTGCTGCTGCTGCTGAGCGCTCTGCGCTGCTGCTGCCGCTGCCGCCGCCGCCGCCGCGGTAGCAAAGAAGCAGGCTGCAGGCGGCAGGAAAGGCTGCGGGGGCTGCGGGGGCTGGCCCGCTCCGTTCTCCATCTTGCCAGAGCCCTCCATACCGGGCCAAGGAGTCTCGGGGAAGAGCGAGAGGGGTGTGCGAGGTGCGCGGAGCGCGAGGGGGACTCGGGACTCAGAGGCACAATCAAAAGGGGCGAAGAAAAGGAGAGAGGAGCACCGGGCCCGGAAGAAAGTTAAAAGAGAAGAAACGCGCAGGAGGCCACAGAGTTCTCCAGCTGCGGCAGAGGAAAGTGCCTAGGCGATCGTCTTCCCTCTGCGCCTCCTCCTCCCTCCCCTCCTCCCGCCGCGGTTGGCTTCGGGAGCTTCGCGTGGCGCTCGCGTGTGCGGCCGCCGCCGGCGCCTTCTCGGTATTAAAAGAAAAAGGGAAAGGGAAAGCTGCAGCAAAAGTCAGTGTTGAGCGCGCTCTGCCGTGTCGCGCCGCTCCGGTGCTGCGCTCTCTTGCGCCCGGTGTCCCCGGCTCCAGCCTGGGTTGAGCCTGGGTTCCAGGATTATTTGGATAACCCCCTTTTTTTCTAATTCCTCTTTTGCCCCCAATTCGCCCTTCCTGATCGGCTCCCAGCCGGTACGCCTTCCACGTTCCCTGGCCAGAAGTGAGAGTGCTGGGCGGCTGCGGTGCGGCTGCCTTTTCAATGGGACACCCAGCCCCACGCGCAGCCCTGGCCCCGCCTCGCCCCCCACTCCCCACTGCTGCAGCGGACGGCTGCAGCCCCCCCTCCTCCCCCACCCCCTCAGCTCCCTCCCTCCCCTCCCCCTCTCCGGTTGCCCGCGCCCGCTCCTTGCAAACTCTCCATTCAGCCGGGTTTGTTGTTGCAGTGCGTGCGCCTGGCGCGTGCCGGACTCCCGGCTGAATAAACAGGCTGCGCGCTCGGGGCGGTGGCTCCGGGCGCCAGGGGGTGGCTCTAGAAATGGGGGCCTTCTTCTTCTTCTTCTTCTTAAAAAGGGCAAATGGCTCCAGGCCTTGGGGTGCTTAGGTGGAAAGTCTGGGTGGAGGGAAAGTCTCTTTGGGGTCTATTGAGAACTTGGGAGAAAATGCACGGAAGGAATTAGGCAGGAAAAAGCAGTAGAGGGACCTCATGGAGGTGGTGAGACGGGGGTTCCGTTTTTTCTCTTGTCTTCTCTCCACAGTTATTCTGGAGGATTATTTGGTGACCCTATAAAGTAAAACAGATATGCAATTAGGTTTAGAAAGATGAAACAGGAGAGACCATGAGGGAAGTACCGGCCGCTGTTTGAGAACTTGAGTTCTAGTCCCTTGAGTCCTCTCACTAGATAAGTTCTAATGTCTCTGAGCCTCCTTCCCTTCCGCAGCCCTATAAGGTTGTGTGTGTGTGGGGGGGGTGCTGTATCCTAGCCTGCTTCAAGAAAAGCCTGAGCTGGACCTCCTCTGCAAGTGTGGAGAGGATAAAGACGTGAACTGGAGCTTACCGGCTCTCTAAGACGCTGAGGCAGGAGAATCATAAGTTGGAGGCTACCTGGAACTCCATAGTGAGATACCTCTCAGTTTAAAAAACGGTGTGTGTGGGGGGGGCGCAGGTGGTGAGTGGTATGGGGAGTGTATACAGGGAAGTTCTTGGGGCTAGCTAATTCTAGCCCTCTGTAACACCTGCCAGTCCTCAGAAGATGCTTTCTAGATTGGCTGGGGGAAAGAGAGCTCTCTGGGATATTCCAAATCCTTTGGAGGCAGAAGATGTGTGCATCGCAGAATGGAGGGTGACTGAGTTTGGGCAAACGGAAAGGCTTCCCTCCGTGTCCTGCTCTGCCACAGAGGCCACAGAGGCCTTGGCGCAGCCTTCATCCCGCCCCAGGCGTGTGCCTGGCGGGCTGGTGGCAGGCGACTGGGAGCAGAGCCCGCTGGGGCCGGGGCTGTGTGCTGGCACCGCCAGAGAAGGGGAGGCGCCTGCAGAGGCGCTCAGCCGCTGGGACAGTGCCTGCCCAGGCGCCCTTCCTGGGCCCTAGGCCTGACACTCACTGTCCGAACCAAGTCCAGCTTAGAAACGCCAAGCACTGCAGGCAAAGGTCTCAGACTACTCTGGAATAGATTCTGGTCAGGGCTACATAGGCAGAGGCAAGCAGCGATCCTCTGGTGCATTTGTCCAGAAGATCTCAGGTTTGATGAAGCACCAGAGTGCAGTAATGATTATAGTGAAGTACCAGGATAATGGCTTCTAGTTATCGTGGGTATTATTATTTTAATTGTTATTGGAGCTATTTTTCAGTGTCTCACTGCATAGTGGAAGCTGGCCTTGAGCTCTTGGCAATCTTCCTACCTCAGCTTTCCCAGGACTGAGATTATGAACATTGGCCCCAATTTCTGGCCAGGATAATTGCTTCTAGTTGATTTCTCTTTGTGGAGATGGGTCTTTCTAAAGGGTCCATGAGGCTATCCCAGAAAGATGTCCTAGACATGAGTGGCTAATGGTGAGTGTTCTCAGAGTTACAGTGGTATCCATGTGGAGAAAGAGTGCTCTTCCCAGCTGAGTCCCACGCCTTGCCTTGGCTATCTCCTTGTAAAAGGGTAGCTTTGGGGAGCACCGGTTGTAACAACATCAACACACCAATTCTGTAATCATTCTCACTCATCCAGCCCATAGGCTCTACCATAGTTAGCTTATTGACTTCTGGGAGTCTCATTTTCCTCACCTGTGCCAGGCCCCCCTCCAACACACAGAGAGAAGTAGAGACAGTGGAATGAAGCTGGACTGGTGAGAAAGTAGTTTTGAACACCCATCAAGGACATGAGTCGTGATAGGGTGTGGAGGTCATCTTTCTGTCGCAGCTATGAAAGGCCCGAGGTGCTCTATGAAGAAGAGAGGTTTGCCTAAGCTCACAGTTTCAGAGGTGTTAAGCCCTGACCAATTGGTTCTGAACCTGTGGAAATGGCTGTCATCACTGAAATACAGAAAACGGCAAAACGACACATGTTATGGTCAGGGAAAAAAGAGCGCTTGCTTTTTTGTCAACTTGACACACACACACACACACACACACACACACACACACATCTGCGAAGGAAGAATCTTAATTAAGGCCTCCGTCAGATTGCCAGCTCACAAGTCTATGGGGGAATGTTTTGATTGATGATTAATGTGGAGGGGCAATGCTATCCCTAGGCAGATAACCCTGGGTTGTAGAAGAAAGACACTGAGCAAAGCCACAAGGACCAAGCCAATAAGCACTGCTCCTTCTTGGTCTCTGCTTTGGTCCCTGCCTGGGGGTCCTCCCTGTCTTTCCTTCATGATGAACTACAACTGTAAAATGAAATAGATCCTTTCCTTACCAAGTTGCTTTAGGTCATGACACCCAACTAATGTAGAATTTGGTACCAGCTACAATGCTGTGACAGACCTGTTTGTTTTGGGAGAATTTGGGGGAAGACTTTGGAACTTTGGGCTTGAGAAGCCATTGAATGTTTAGAGCTTAATGCATTGTTGTGGGAGCTTGAAAGATTGGGATGCCAAAGGAGGTGCGGATGATGGAGCCCTGGCTGGTAAAATCTTACAGGGAAGCAAAGACGACTCATGTGTGATTTTGAATTAAGAACCCATGAATCTCCTCAGCTGGGGCTGAAATATCAGCTGTGGTTAACAAGAGGCCTGAAACATTAAAGGGAACTTTTGCTTTGCTGGGGCAATCAATGCTGGCCATCAAAAGCTGGAGCATAGACATGAGCTGCAACTAATAAGGAATAAGCATCCAAGAATTGCTTCCTTGGGGACAGCACATGGAAGCTGTGGACTAGAGGGAGCCAAGGCTGCATATTAATACTGACAACTGAAGGCGATAGGAATGTGTAAGAGCCACACAGGTTGTATTGGTTTTGAATATTTGCAGGAGCCTTGAAGAGCAGCTGACACTTGCCACTGTAAGGCAGGGCTGGAGTTCCTGGGTGAAGGTACAACCTCACTTACAGTAGAAACTCGAGCATATTGAAGATACCAGTAGCAAGAGATTGCTGTCAAGGATAGCAGCAGCTGTGGGGTGGAACCCACTTGAACCTGTGAGACCATTCTCATGTGTTGTGCCTGGCAGACCCAGGGAAGTGTGGCTGCTCAGGGTGTTTGGAGGCCAGAAGGTTGTGAGTGAGTCCCAGACGTGGGACACTAAGCGTTTTTATGCTACTGAAGTTTGCCTTTCTCTGATTTGATTATGATGATTCTTCTTTCTTGGAGGAGTAGTTCACTTTTTTTTCTTATTTATTTATTTATTTTACAGGAGCCCACAGTTGAGAGACTTTGAACTTCTAAAGAGATGTTTAGGGAAGAGGTTACTGGTTGTTCAGTGCCACAGGATAAACCCTGAAAATATACATACAAGTAACACTATACAGACTGAACAGGCTAGATTTAAGAATATATATATTTATATACATATTTGTATACAATAACAATTAATGAAAACATAGGCGACTAATTTGAATGAAAACAGGGAAGGGTATATGGAGGACGTAGGAGGAGGAAAGGAGAGGGAGAAATGCCATTAAGTTATAATCTTAAAAATAAAGAGATGTTAGATTTTGAAAGAAAACTTGGGCTTTTAGAGTATTGAAAATTTTAATATTGGGACTTTAAAAATTATGCTATGCCTATATTGGGATATTGGTGGGAGATCCCAGGGATGAACAAGAAAGGAAATGCTATGGTTAAATGATGTAGTTGTGTGTTCAATTGCCAGCAGGTCAATTAATGTGGTTGGTTTTGTCAACTTGACACAAACCTAGACATATTTGGGAAGAGGGACATTTAGGTGAGAAAACACCTCTATCAGATTGACTGTAGACAAACCTGTAGGGAATTTTCTTGGTTAATTGTTGATGTGGGAGGGCCTAGTCCATGGTGAGTGGTACATCCCTTGGCAGGTGGTCCTGGATGCTGTAAGGAAGCAGGCTGGGCAAGCCAGTAAGCAGAGAGAGTTCCTCCATGGCCTCTTCTTCAGTTCCTGCCTTGAGTGTCTTCCTAGGCTTCCTTCAGTGGACTGTGACTCAGGATATGTAAGCCCTCCCCCTCAATTTTCCTCCTTAAGTGGCTTTCAGCCATGATGTTTTGTTTTATCACAGCAATAGAAATCTTAACTAGTATGGAAAGGAGTTAAGATCCCACAATTTACTTTAGCCCTCCAGGGACCTCAGTTGCTCCCAGGCGGCCCTACCTCTTGAAGATTCTGCCTCTACTCCATAGCATCACCCTGGGGAATATTTAAGAGCCACTGTAATGCAGAGCAGGAGACTCAGCTCTTGGCTTTCTGGAGTCTCACTGAGATAATTGTTCTAACTACTGGAAATTCAATATTGTATCTCCCTGCCTAGCACTTAAGGTTAAATAATTCCTTTTATTCTTCATCAGTGATGATGCTGGTGAATCAGGGTAGTAGAGATAGGAGCCACATTTTAAAATACTACCCATCTTGAAGATATTAAATGCCGATCATACAGTGTGATTTTTCATGAAAGACACTACAGCAGGACCACTGGCCCACATTCCATATCAACTTTCTGTGGCTACCTTGCCACCCAGTGGTTTGACCCTGAACAAGTCCCCAGGGTTTTCCTTGACCAGGTCACTTGAACAAAGTCTCATTTTTCTGGACACGAAGGAACAAGATACTCATACAAGAAGAACTGCGTACCTTTATCACAAGTGGGGTTAGAGGTACACCCTTCACTTATCTGTCAGAGCTGTTATGAGAATGAAGTCAGGGGTTGTTGATGAGTTTGCTTTGTGAAGAGCACTATTGGTATCAGGAACTGAGCTTTCATTCTTCCAACGGGAAGCACACAATAAGTGTTCTGTCCCAGGATGGGGGAGGGCAGCACATTGACCCCTGTTGCTATTACCCAGAACAGACATTCTGGGGAAAAGGGATGGTTTGCCTCATCTTTACATACAATAAGAGCTTAATTTCTACACTTGGTTTTTCTTCTCATAACATCCTTGAGCTGGACCATACTGCAGATTGGCCCTTGTGTGTATTCAGAGCTGAGGTCCTGTAGGGGAGAAGGCTTTTGTAATGAGCCTTGGGAACTGCTTCCTAGATGACCTGAGCCTGCATTCACACGCAGCTCAGAATCCTGGACTTCTCTCTGTGGAAGTGAGGTATGTCTCATCTCTGAAAAATTTCCACCTATGCCACATTTTGGGGGTGGAACATTCAATACTAAAGACTAAACTAGGTTTCTCTCTCTCTCTCTCTCTCTCTCTCTCTCTCTCTCTCTCTCTCTGTCTCTGTCTGTCTTTCTTTTAATTTTGTTTTTGTTTTTCAAGACAAAGTTTCTTTGTGTATTCCTGCCTGTCCTGGAACTCACTTTGTAGACCAGGCTGGTCGCCAACTCAGAGATCTACCTGCCTCTGCCTTCTGAGTGCTGGGATTAAAGGATTAAAGGCATGGCTAAACGAGGCTTCCAATGGAAGAATTTCTTAATAAAGTTGTATGTATAGTGGATCTTAAGTGAGAGACAAAGAGTAAAAGAAACCATTGAGTTTTGGACTCTGATGTTAGTGCAATCATCAAGCTGGAGGCGCTTTGAATTTCAGAACTTTGGGTATTCTGAGAAAAGAGGGTACAAATGAAATCAGTTACAAACCCAATTCCTGTCAGCCACAAAACATGGCCATATTCCTGGAGGGTAAGGTGCCTATGCTAAGGGAAGATACTGTCCCACCTAGGGAAAGTGCAAAGTACCTCCTAAAGAATCTCTCCTTGTTAGGCTTTCCCTTTCAGAGGTAAACTTGGGGAAACTGCTGCCACTGAGAGGCCTCCTCAGGGGGCCAGAGGAACACAAGCCTCACTTGTGACTTGGTTCTGCATCTTGGTCACAACAGCCCGGCCTGCACCTGCATCAAGGACTCCAGACTTCTAATGATTCTATTCACTTTTTCAGTATGTCTTAACAAGGAAAAAAGTTGGAAAAACAAAACAAAACAAGCACAAAGTATATTTTATTGTGTCTTTTGGGGTAAAGAAGAAGGTGGGGGAGGCAGTAATTTGCAGTCACCCTCACAGGAGCTTTTGAAGTTCTCCAAATGAGGAGAACTAATGCTAACTCTTACTTTTTTCTAAAGCCCCATTTACATTATGATTAAATACCTTCCTTGGATAAGCATAAAGAAAGTCGTTAATCTATATAGCTCTCCAAAGAATCAATACATTCTAAACGTTTGTAGGATTTGTTACACTCTGTTTTGTTGTTACAGTGGGCCTGCCCGGCTCTGTCTAGGCACATGGTTCTTCTCCCCCCCCCTCGGCACCTCCTCCAAGGATGAAAACAAAGCAAAGGTCTTTCACCATAAACAAAACCAGCTGATTCTTCACAGAGAAACCCTGAATAGCTTGAGAAGGAAAAAAAAACTTACAATAAATGGTGCATTTTTTCTCTGCTGGGTATAGTATTCAAGGATCAGGGCAGTATTCAAACAGAGGTCCATTTTTTTGCTCAGCAAGAGAGTTTAGAAAAGAAGCGTGGAGTCCATTCAGAGCTCCCCCGTCACAATCACAGGGCTCTGTGAAACCTATCTTCCATGCCTTGTCAGAGTGTTTCTGGGGACCAATTAGCGCTTTGTTGCACGGGTTCTTTGCTGAATCGTGGAGCAGCAGGAAAAAGCGCTCTTGAGTCTCCCCTTATTTTGACCATTTCAGTCATTACTCGGTGTAATAATTAATATGACAACTGGACGCTCCGGTTTGTATAGAAACACCTCAGCGACAGGAGCGAGTTTGCAGTGGGTGGTAATGAGCTGCACATTGGCCCCAGAAGCCACACACACAAAAAGGGGATGAATGGCGACAGAGAAAGAGAAGGAATAAAGATAAAATAGTTGGCACAACGCAGAGGGACATAAAACAGCCTGGAATGGAGAGAGGGAGGAGGAACCACGACAAAGAAGAGGAGGGGTAAACACCCTATGGAGGTTAACTTATTTTGAAACTGTTTTGTGAATAGAACCGTGGACGTGAGTGGCCAGATTTCAGCCCATTGCGCCCCCTTCCCGTCCCCTCCCCAACTTTCATGAACCATCTTGGAGACAGGGTGGGAATAGGGTGCGCTGCAAACTTTAGATTGCTCTGGGACTCCTGGAAAGTGCATTCACTGTCTACCAAGTTCGAATGCCAGCAGCCCCTCACTTGGGGTTCAGCAAAAGCCAGGTTACCTTGGCAGGACCAAAGACACCCTACCATCTTGTGGGGGGTGAATTTTGGGGAAAAGACATTCCAGACTTGGAGACTCTGCATCAACTCTGAGCAGTCTACCTCTGTAGGGCTCCGGAGTTGGGAGGGGGCTGGAGAGTTGCAGTGTAGCTACTGCATCCCAGTCTTGGGCTGTGTCCCTGGGCTGGGACCCCTATGGGACAGCATAATAAATAATTAGAACGTTTGAGCCTGTTGGCCACAGCTCATGCTAATGAGGCAGATAAGAACTCACACTAAGCCTAAGTGGCAGTTTGCATATAAGACAAGAAACAAACATAAACTCCCCAAACTCAAACCAACCCTGCTTCTTTTGCCCCAACTTGCTCCTTCTGTAATTGCTGTCCCCATACCTTTTACTTAATTCTGATACTCTCACACACCTTTCCTCCCCCAGCCACACACTCAGTATTCCTTCCACCCAGGGGGGCCTCCAGACTGCCCAGCTGTCTGAAAGTCCACTACAGTCGCCTGTCCCGCCCGGCATCTAGTGATGGTTTTCAGGATGCTATCTCACATCCTGAGCATAGAACTTGAAAGTCCGGGAAACCCTGGACTTTCTGTATGCCTTGGATGCTATCCAGGTTCAAGGGGGCAGGGGAGCTTCCAGGTGGGCGAAGAGCTGAGGCACCAGGAACCTAGGAGTTTGGGAACTGCGCCTACCGCCTCCCCAAAGCACAGTTTACCGAAGTGTCTGAGGTCAGTCATGTGTCCCTATTGTGTGGCCACGCGTCCCGTGTCCATCAGCACCTCCCCAAGCCCAGACTCAGCCTGACTCCTTGCGGTGCACTCTGGAATATCAAGCAGTGTCTGGGGACCGGGATACTGGCGGTGAGGGCCAAGGAGAAAGTTTGCTGGTAACAGGTTTCAGAGGAAGCAGAAGCCGGGCCAGTCACTGAAAGAGACATCTTGACTGCCTGATTCAACCCCTCTTCCATAAGCCCTTGTGTACCACACACAAGGGACAACAGCCAGCAGGATTTTCAGTCCTTTGTGGGAGTGAGGGTATGGGTGGTGACAAGGGTCAGGAAGTAATTTTTAACATGGATATTCCTTGACGCAAAATCTGAAACAGCAACAAAGGCAAGACTTAAGGACTTATTAAATATAAAATTCTGACAGGAGTGCCCAGCACACAGAAGCCACAGATGCGTGTTAAATATACCACCCACACTGAAATGTGTAGCAAGAGGTGACATGCTAGTTCTGTGAAGTGCTGGAAATGCTGTTTAATTCTAAAAGTGACTAAGGCTGACATGGCCATTGATCCTTTAAATAACTGGCAAATTTGAGAGAAGGGAGACAAGTCACATCTGCTGCTTCCTATGAAGTTGCAGATGGACTAGTCGGCATGGAAGGAAAGAAATCCATTAAGACACAGCAAGACAAAGGATGGTCCTCTTCCTCCAGACTCCACCCTTTCCACGTACCTGAATACCGCCCAGGTAGACATTCCAGGTAAAATCAGTGGGCTGCAAAGGCATCCTCAAGTCACCTAGAGCCTTTCTCCTTTGCTTGTTTTTCATCCAAAATAACATTCATGGGTAGATGATGTTATCCTCAGCCTGCGTTATGTGGCAGCAATGTGGATGCTCAAACTATGGTCCTTGCTAGCCAGAAAGCAACCCTCAGCATCCTAGAGACAAATGATTAGTGCTAGGGACTAGGGTAAACTTTGGGTCTTTGGTGAATTTTGATTAACAAGCAACGAATGAAGCACCACTGCTCCCCACAGCTTTGCTGGAGAAACAGGACATTCATCTGTGACTGGACTAGTTTCTCATCTGAGACTTGGGGAGCTGGCAACTGCCTTGTCTTCCATTGCTGGGTATGTGAGTCGCTTGCCACCTGCTGGTTGTTTGTCGAACTGCAGCAGGAACTGTGTGTGGGGGGCCGGGGAGGGAATCTGCAACGAGATTCATTCACTCAGCTCTATTCTATTAATTCTGCTCTACGTAATGCAGTTGTGTGTGTCCCGCTCACCACGTTGGCCACAGTAGTGATATCTGTGGCGTTCTCTCAGTGTGTTTGCATGTGTGCGTGCGTGTGTCTGGAAGGCAGAGGATGATTGGCCAATACTGAACACGTTCCTCCTCAGTCTGGCTTTGCTTTACTTTTTGACACAGTGTCTCTCACTGAACAAGTAGTTCGTCCATGTGGTGAGACTCTGGCCACTGAGCTCCAAGGATCCCCTCTTTCCTTCTTCCCACACCACCATGGCTGGCTTTTATTTTAGCTAATCTGAACTCGTCTGGATATTTGCACTGCAAGATCTTGATCAGCTGAGCCATCTTCCCAAACACCTGAGTGCGTTAAACATCCGGGTTCTGAAGTTTTATTCCACACCCACTCAAACAGGACCGGGGACCGTGTTCTCTCAACAAGCTACGCTTCCTATGCCAAGGACGGGAACTGCCCCACCTGAGGCAGTGGTAAGGCAGTGAAGATGGAGCCTTTCTGGTAAGAAACGTGTCTTTTCATGTCAGGTCAGGTACCCTGGTGGTTTTGAAGGAGGGGAAATGGGTAAGTCAGTACTGAGATGTCTGTCCTGCTGGGCCCAGTGAGTGGTCAGAAACCTGACTCAGAAGGAAAGGCACCACACAAATGGCCTGCCAAGGCCAGGGCATAAGATCTCTTGCATTTACTTCCAGGGTCTTTAGTTCCAGTCCATGGAGTCCTCAGTTCGGGCCTTCTCCTGGGCCTTGCTGTCACACCATCCTCAGACCCCTCCTCATGCACATCCCTGCTCTCTTTCTCTCCAGCCTCAACTGCTGTTCTGGCATTTGGTCCTCCCTTTGTCACTCAGTCCAGAAAGCATGACTGGTTGCCCCATAGATTTATGACCACTCACGTTTCCTGGCAGCTCCGTCCATGCTCCTCAGTTTCCTATCTTCCATTCTGAGCACTCCTCTTCCTCTCATTGTATATTTTATTGCATTAGTTCTATTATTTAAAGTGATTTTTAAATTTAAATATATTTTGATCATACTCTTCCCTGCCCTGAGTCCTCCCAGATCCTTACGCCTCCCTACCCACTCAACTTTAAACTCTTTCCAAAAAAAAAAAAAAAGAGAAACAATACAACAGAATTCTCCCAACCAAAGAAAACAAAATAAACCACTCCCTAAAGAAATAAAACCACCAAACTGTAACCAAATGAAAACACATACAGGAAACCAACCTCTGGAGTGCATCACATGTTGGGCAGTTGTGTGTGAAAATGGGTCCTGTCCTGGAGTGGCTGGTGTGCCAAGTGCCACTCTATTGGAGAAAACCGAACTTCTCTGTCCTATCAGGTATAATTGACAGTTTAGATGTTAACTCTACTCTGGTAGCTAGGTTTTCATTCATTCACTCATTAAAAATCAACAAAATAAAATATAAGGTAAAACAAAACTATCACTCCAGAATCTCACACAAGACGTCAAGAGAAGAAAAAGAGCCCAAGAGAAGGAACAAGAATCAGGCCCTTTTGCTTTGCACAGGCTGATTTAGAGGGCCTTGTTCTCCTGGTGTACTCCATACTTTCTGGTCCTTTTGCTCTTTCTGACTTCTCTTCTGCAGGGTTCCCTGAGCTCTGAGGGGAGAGATTTGTAACCAACCAATAAATGATTTGACTTAAAGGCTCACACTAAGAGATGTAATCCATACCTGACATTGGTATAGATAGCCCTCGGACCTAGGGTAAAACCAAATAAAAAAAGGTGTGTGTGGGGGGGTTGAGAGATGGCTCAGAGGTTAAGAGTACTGGCTGTTCTTTCAGAGGTCCTGAGTTCAATTCCCAGCAACCACATGGTGGCTCACAACCATCTGTAATGAGATCTGGTGCCCTCTTCTGGCCTGCAGGGATACATTCAGGCAGAACACTATGCATAATAATCAAGTCTATAAAAAAAATAAAAATGTAGAGATAAAATGATTCCTAATGGTATTCTGCTACACTCATAGATCAGTGCCTTGTTCAGCCATCATCAGAGAAACTTCCTCCAGCAGCAGATGGGAACAAATACAGACCAACAGGCAGACACTACACAGAGATCGGGAGACCTTGGAGCACACAGTGGTAAATGGGATGTCCCCATCAAATCTCTCTTTCTCTTAGTCCCATGTTTAAGCCTGCATCATTGACTTAATATTTTCATTAAATTACAATTATGTTCACAAAACAAACAAACAAGATTCTTCATCAAGCTACCTATTCCTTGATTTTATGACTAGCTTCACCTACTTATTTCTCACCCCAAAGGCTCTAATTTTGATGTTTAAATTTTATATGTCAATTTGACTGGACCAGAGTACCCAGATGTCCAGCTAAATGATTTTAGCACTATGTCTTTAAGGATGTTCCTGGACGACATTAACATTTGTATTGTAGATGAGTATGAGATTACTTTCCCTATGTTGGGACCTCATCCACTTTGACGATGACCTGAATAGAACAAAAGGGAGAATTCTGTCCCTGCCTGACTGTCTTCTCACTTGCCATCTCTTTCCTTCAGACTTGGGTTTAGACTAGAACTTTTGCTACAGGAATCTTCCTGGAATAGCACTCCAGCATCAATGAAAATAGAAGAAAGGAAATGCGTTCACCATGGACCGAAGCCAGGATAGTTCCTGAAAGGCCTTGGTCCTGGGTCCAGGTTGCATTCTCATTTTATACTCTAAAACCACATGGTGGGGTGGACAAGCAAGTGAGCTTTCACAGAAATGCACACAGCCTTTTGTTTTGAAAGGTAGATATTACATTTGACAGGCAGAAGTGTTTGTGGTCAGGTTGCTAAGGGCAACAGCTCTCTGTTTCAGCTATTTCTCCAGGTCTTTTTGTTCCAGGTATCAGGTGAATTCTTGCTTGGAAATGAACAGTATGAGCAGCACTTCAGGTAAATCACTAAATCAGTTCTAATATTTTTTCTGTTATTCTATTTCACTTGTTTCTGGGTTTCCAGGTTGTAGGACTTGAGGCTGAGTGACATTATCCTCAATATATAATGCCTATCAATCTATCTTTCGTCTATCTATTTGTCTGTCTGTCTATCTATCCATCCATATATAACCTATTCATTCATCTATTCATCTGTTTTTCTAATCTCCTGCTGGTTCTGATTCTCAGGAGCACTCAAGGCTGATATATTTGCCAATGACTTTATTTTGCTCAATGCATTGAATACTCCAAGTGCTTGACTGGCTCAATGCATCAGGCGCTGCCGGCCTGTAATGTTAATTCTTAGTTGTCAACACAGCTGTATCTGAGAGCAATTAAAAGGCAAGACCTTGGGCACTCCCATGAGGGATTTTTCTGGATCAGATTATTTGAAGTGAGAAGAACCTACCCTAAGTCTTGGTGCCATTTTCCAGTGGCAACCTAGATAAAATGAGATAAAGATTTGCCTTCATTTTCACCAGCAAGTTCACATACTTTAAGCTGCATACCTTTGCTGATATTAGAACTCAGATTCCATGGGCTTCCAACAAGGACTTAAGACCACCAGCTCTCTGGGAACCCTTTTGTCTTTGAGTACTGTACTGGAATTGCTGGGACACCTCACTTTGTGGACTGAGTAGCTACCAGGTTCTTGGCTTCTTTAGTGATATCCATGGTTGGACTATCCGAACCCTACATTATGAGTCAGTCTAATAAATTCCCCTTTAATCTCTATTCATCCTGTCCACTCTGTTCCTCTAAGGCTGTGATTCTTAAGAAGGATATCTACATAAGGATACTCAGCCCCTCATATCCTCTTGAACTCTCTTCCTTGGGATGCCATGGTTCTTATGCCCTTGATCACTAGAGAAAAATGAAAGAATGTGTCTACATTTATTTATGCCTTATTATCAAGAATACTCCTACAAAGAAATTCTGGCCAAGAAGTGAATTGAAAAAAATAATGGACAGTGTAAAACAGAATATTTCTCAAGACTGTAAAATCATCAGCTGACTGACATGATTGGATGTTTCAGGAGCCCTTTTTACACCTGGTATCCATGAAATGATGAAATCACACCCAGTAAACACACATGATATGTATCTTTGAACTTACCATCTGGCTCTCAGAGTCTGGATGTGAGACGTGTACTGGGTGAGAAAAGATATCCAGTAGCATATTATGCAGTATCTCTACCATCCTAATAACTGTATGAACACAGATAAGTAGCAAACTGTAGAGAAGTGTTAGTAATGGGTTTTGTCATATTTTTAATATAGATACTTTTTCAATTGTGAATTTATGTGATTTATTTCTAAGTTACAATTATACTTAGCATCCAGGTTACTGAATTCTTGAGAAATTGTTCTAGGAAACCTGGACAAGCTTCCCCTAGTCTGCCATTGATTATGGTGCACCAGTGGCCTGAACTCACCTTGTCCCTCTAACCTCAGGTCACCCCTTTCTCTCTTGCTCCAGGCACATGTAGCTTAGGTATACTCCTGGATATTCCTGAGAAGTGTCTCATTTAAATCTAATCTACATGTTTACACAGGAGTTCCTTCTATTAGAAGCCCCCTTTGCTCCCCAAACTGTGAATCTGTTACCTTCCCCTGACTCAGTTCTCAGCCCAAAGTTTCTATGTTCAGTATGTCTCTTGATTCCACGAGTCTCCCTCAAAACCTTTTTTATTTTTCAGTCTTATGCTCAGTCTCTGTTCCCTCCTTTGCTATTTTAAATTTTTATTCATTTTACATACCAACCACAGTACCCCCTCCCTCCTCTCCTTCCACTCCCCACCTCCCCTCCCCTGTCCCCATCCACTCCTCAGAAAGGGTAAGACATCCCACGGGGAGTCAACAAATGCTGGCATATCAAGTTGAGGCAGGACCAAGCTCCTCTCTGCCACATCACGGCTAGCAAGGTATCCCCCCCCATAGGAAATGGGCTCCCAAAAGCCAGTTCATGCACCAAGAATAGATTCTGGTTCCACTGCCAGGGACCCCGCTAGCAGACCAAGTCACACAATTGTCACCCACATACAGAGGGTTCAATCCCATGCAGGCTCCCCAGCTGTCAGTTCAGAGTCCAAGAGTTCCCAGAGGTTCAGGTCAGCTGTCTCTGTGAATTCCCCATCATAGTCTTGATCCCCTCCCCTTGCTCATATAATCCCTCATCCCCCTCTCAAACTGGACTCCCAGATCTTAGCCCAGTGCTTGGCTGTGGATCCCTACATCTGCTTCTACAGGTTACTGGATGAAAGTTGTATGATGACAATTAAGTTAGTCACCAACAAAACCTTTTTTTAAAAAAAAATAATGGCTCTCTTCTTAAAACTTTATTTCTTCTTGGTCATACTCAGTGCTGGGTTGACTTTGCTTTTCTTGTTTTCCTTTCTAGTCTTTGTGTTTACTGTTCATGTTCCTACAAGAATGGGAAATCAATGGGAACAGTAACCGTGACAGTCCTGATCACCACTGTCTAGAGCAGTGCCTGGTAAATATGTATTCAGCAAATATTTACTGAGTACGTGAGCAAACAGATGACCATGCCTAGTGATCTCACTCTGATGCTTCGGAGACAGGATGCTAACACGATGGCTCCAGGGCTGTGCTGCGTCCATGCGCATCTCCCATTCATTCAATATACCTTTAATCAAAGGCACTTGATTTACTCACTGATTTCATTACAAGCCAATGCAATGCCTCATTCTGCTAAGGATTCCTGGAATAGCCAGCCCCCAATAGTATTCTAAAATATTATTATGAAAAGCATGACTTCATGTCTTAATCATATTTAGTGTATGGAGGCACTAGTCGATAATGGCCCTCAAGTCTCTGGGCTGTCTATGTGGGGAAGAAGACTGAGTAGAAAGATGTGGTCGAAATGGAATTCTGTAGAAGGTGAATGCAGGGTGGGAGTTTCCTAAGATTTGAAGTGTGGCATTGAAGTGCACTGGGATTTGAGGTGTGGCGTTGAAGGGCACCCTTTGAATTCTGCTAAGGAAAGCACAGCTCTGCTGACGGCAAGTTCACCTTGCACGCTCTTTTCTTGTATCTCATCTCAGTAGGATTATATGTAGCTGTGAAAGAAGCTTCAAAATAATTGGCTTAAACAAGAGAGCAGTTCACTATCTTTTTCTACAAAATGCCAGGCCAACACACTCCTAGATGTCAGCTACCATGCCCTTCCTGTCTTCTTCTCCTTTGTAAAGTATGGATGATTGACATTCTTAAATTTATCCCATAATCCAACATGCGGGCTCCTACTCCAGCAGGATTTCCATATTGGAACCCTCAAGGAAAAACAAAAAAGGGAAGAGAAGGGTATGCATCCTAAAAAGCACTTCTTTGCAGTTATACAGATTTTCCCCTTGGATTTCTTGGGTCACACATTTGATTTGTAGCTACATGTATCCTCAAGGAATTCTGAGAAATGCACCTTTTATTTTACAAAGAATTTTACCTACAGCCCAAGCTCCAATATTCCATTTGCACAGGTAAGAAGGACACAGCCCCTTTCACTCCTGGCGGCTGATCCTGAAGTTCCTGAGCTGCAGTCTGAAATAAAAATGGAATTGTCCATGCATCTATGAAGTGGGCCAGTAGGGAAACAGTAAGTACAAATGGATTCAATTTATTACTGTAAGAGATGATATGGCTTTCATTGGTTCTTCTCATCAATTTGGAATGCCTTCAGAAAGGATCTAAGCCTAGAGTATTCTGAGATGAGGACACTGATAGTAGAAAGAAATTGATGGCAACTACTCGATGCTCTTTTCTAAAACCAGATATGACTTTTAACCCTGGAAAAAAGCAAGTATTTTCTAGAAAGATGAGGGAGAAATTCATACCATGGAGTATCTTCAGAGTTGAAGATGCTTTTCATTCTTATTATGCTAAACTGGAAAAGACCTTTCACTCAAAGAGAAACAGGAATCAGGTCACTTACAAAATACTACATCTAGGAGATATTTAGAGTTCAAGATTTTTTTGTGAAAGAAAAAATTTAGAAGACAGTACAATGTCACACTACAAAACTCAGGAAGTTTCTGCTCTCTAACACCCCTGTGACCAGATAGGTCATGGACCCTAAAGGAAAACCCAATACTATTCTGCTAATTAGATACAGTCTTAAAACAGCAATGACTTATTGCTCTACCCATAGATCAGAGCATCGTTCTACCCAAACTAGAGAAGTTTATCTTTTCAGTAGATGACAACTGACAGAACCCCAACTGGTCAATGTGAAGAGGATATGAGAGCACTGTGTGCTCAGCCCTAACTGGGATGTCTATATCAAACCCCTTGCTCCAAGAGTCATGGATGTTCGTGAAAGATGGAAGGACTGTAAAATCCAGAGATGCCAGGCCCTGCTCTGAAGACTAGCTGGGCAACACATACTTTGCTGATGAGGAAAGGAAAGATATCTCAAAGTGGAAAGGGAAAGCAGGGTGAAGAGAATGGCTGTTAGAGGAGTTAGGGATGGTGAATACTTTCAAAATACATAGTAGGAAATACTCAAAGAATTGTTAAATATTGTTCAAAAACAGGAATCATTCAATGCCGTGTTGTAATTGTGGTGTTTATTTTCTGCCTCAGTGGAACTAGATATGGAAGTTGGAAGTGGGCGCTGGTTAGAGATGAAACCTTGACCTTTATTCTGCCTTAGGATTGTTTTAAAATCTTTTTATTTTATAATAAACTAAAAATAAATTGTATTTACAGAAGCAAGGCTATATCTCAGTGGTAGCATGTGTAAGATTCTAATTTAAATCCACAGCACCAACATAATACATTTAAATATATGAAAGCATTGATATCATATATCATAACTGAACTCACAATGCATGAAGAATGATGAGAATTGTCAATTAATATACCTTTAATCAAAGTCACTTGACTTACTAATTGATTAGATTATTGGGTAACTGAATATCTAAGCCCTAAATATTCTAATAGTTCTTAAGTCTCTCTTTTTATCAAGGAAGAATTTAAAAGTTATTAAATTCTATGGATGACTAAAGGGTACACATCCACATATGCAACATTTGTCTCAGTCCATGGCAATGAGTTCATAAAGGTTTTGAATGGTTTACATTCATTCTAGTGAAACCGAATGTGATAAGTGGGGATTTTGCTCAGGTGTAAGGGAAAGTTATGCTATATAATATTCATGTGAGTGTGCAGCACACACATGGCATTTATGTACCATTTCCGCTGCCACTGTTTGTATCTAGGCAAGGTTCCTCCCAGAATCTCTTTGGTGTCCTGTCCATCAGCCTGGGGTTGAAGCAGGGAAGCAAACTGCCATGAGGTCTGATGTTCATCCAAGTGTTGTTGTCTCTGATGGGAACTGACCTGTAAAGACTGTTGGTTTGTCCCAAACAATGAGAATGACCTCTTTCTGTGAAAAAATGACTAACCAAACCTATGAGATTTACTCAACTGATGCTTGGTCTTTCTTTGGATTGGAACCTTTTTATATTTATCACTGATATTATATTCTACCTCACATTGTGTTAGAATAGGTTTAGGGAAAAAGACTTGTATTTGCCAGTAGACAATAACTTGGTAAAAGCAAATTAGAGAGGAAAGCTGAAAGTATCCAAAGTACCTGAAATTTAAATAATATACTCGTTAAAATCCTTAAGTTATTGAGAAGATTATTTTCAAAACCTCAAACTGAACAGTAGTATAGCACTTGGATACCAAATTAATGAGTCTCACCTACAATAGTACTTGGAAATAATTCTTTTTAAATATACTTATTAGTAAACACAGATTATTGAAAACAAATTCGTACTCAACCCAAGAAGTTAGAAAAGATTAATAAAGCAAACTCAATCAAGAAAATAGTAAGGACAAGTAGAGAACAGTCAATGAAAGAGAGATCAATATAGAGGAGATCAGGGTTACGAAATGCTCACCCTTAGTGGACAAATATCTGGCAAGATGAGAGAATATATAAATAAATCACAGGCATCGGAAGGTAGACCAGTATGAAAAGTGCTTGTTGTGCAAGCAGGAGGACCAAAGTCTGATCCTCACGACCTATGCAAAAGGACAGGCACAGAGAAATGGCACGTGCTTGCAATCCCAACACTTGGAGTTAGAGGCAGGAGGGTCCGTAGGGTTTGTGAGCCAACCAAGCCAGCCTGACCAGAGGATCAGGATGATGAGAGACCTTTTACCAAAAGACAGGTGGATGTCACCTGAGAAGGAAGACACTGGAGTCATCTTCTACACACACACACACACACACACACACACACACACACGCACCCCACTCCAACTAAACAACAAATGATGAAGTACAGAAAAAGATGGGAATAAATCTAGACAGATAGGAGAATAATGTTATAAACAGTAATATACATTTCATGGAACCCCTAAGAAACTGCATTAATTTCTGGGAAAAATATAAAAAGAGATGAAATAGACTATTGGAATAAGATAATAGCAGCTAAAGAAATTGAAATGTAATCTCAAACAGCCCTGAACACCATCTCCCCACCTCCTTATTTCAGGTTGAGTAATAAGAAGGCTGACAAAATTCTCAAGAAAGAAATAACTTCTATCACCTGAAGATGATTACCAAAAGTATAAGAACAGAGAAGATTCTTCAAGATCCTACATAAAACTGTTATAATTGCTTGAGATTGTGAGGTACAGATGCGGTACACAATGTCTGTACCCCACAAGGTGGAATGAAAAAATAAACTCTGCAAGTTGTCCACTGTCTCTACACATGGATACACACAAACACACACATGCACAAGTAAATACATAAAGAAATGTAAGAAAATCAAATTATATGAACTAGACATATGTAATAGTGCATTAAAATTAATAAACAATGAACAGCTGGGTGTGGTGGTGCATGCCTTTAATTCCAGCACTCAGGAGACAGAGATAGGTAGATCTCAGGTGGATCTCTGTAAGTTCTACAGAGCGAGTTCCAGGGTAGCCTCCAAAACTACTCAGAAACCCTATCTCAAAAATAAAATAAACCATGAACAAAGGTTACCCGAGAATGAAAGCAATTTAACACTCCCTCAAAATCTGTGGCTATAATCCTACATGCTATTTTATTAATGTTTAGTCACATTAACAGATCAAATTGAATCGATCACATGTTTCCTAGTAAATTTTAAACGTCACTTGTCAACACTTTATGATGTAAGCTTATGAACTTCACTCTATAGTCAGAAGGGTTTTGCAAAGTCAATGAAGATTACGACATCAGGAACCTGTATCAAAAAGCAGCAGTGGTGGCTATACACAGAGGATATTTTACACCAGAACAGGTAGTCAGAGAACTAAGTTCACATTCCAGGGCATGGCTAAATCTTCAGAGCAGAATCTGAACTCTATAGTACTACCATATGTCGTAATAAGTCTCTAGAGCAACACCACATATCAGGAAAACATACCCTTGCACACACAGGTGCACAGCTAACATCAGACATAGAAAGCACGCTAAAAGTTTATGACAGAGTCTTCAAAATAAAGTGGCTTTCTGAAAAAAAAGAAAGCACACGGGATGTTCTTTTATCTTGATTTCTCAAGATGAAAGAGAATGAGCAAATCAGGTAATTAAAGGGACTCGTAGGTTTTGATTACGGGCCAGGAATTCGTGGATTATGATTAACTCAGTCTTTTGCGCACGAGGTTAAATAGAAAGAAGCCGACAAACTAGCAATGGTTGGGAAATCTTCAACTTTTAAATCCGTGGAGTCAGCTCTAAGATCGCCAAGTACCGAGCTGGACGCCCATCTTGCTGCTTGGTGCTCAGTCCGGCACACCCGTTAAAGTGGCCCAGTGGTCTACAGACTATCCACGTGAAAACAGCTAGATCTTCACTGTCTTCTGGATTTTCTTAGCCCCCACCACTGCCCTTGTTAGGTACACCACATAGTCCACCCAGTACAAACTCTGCTTCACTACCAGTAGTTCCCTGTGATGTCAGTGTTAAGGTGGAACCCTCACCCCAGCCCCTGGCATCCATATACTCAAAGAGTCCGTGATGCTACTGTGGAAGTTCCACCCCAGCCTCCCTCCCCTCTCCCTCCAAACCCTGCTGCATCTCAGAAAGCCAAATGACGACCCCTCCCCCAGAGATACTCAAGGTCACACCCACAGGGTATTTAAACTGCCCCCAGGAACCAACCTTGTGTTTTTTTCGGTCTCCCTTTCTCCTCTCCTCTCTGGGAGACTGGAAGACCACCTGGGAGCATTATCTCTATTAAATGTGGACTTTTCTTTTCTTTTTTTTTCTATTGGAACGACTTTATTTAAGTACACTGGGCCCCACCAGGCAACGCGGCTTTTCGAGGCTGTGCAAGGGACAAGCTTGGGCTAAGAGAGATGAGCTGATTAAGCGCACTGCAGTCCATGGGTTGCCACACTGATCTCACACAAGCCAGCTGCAGCTTATATCTGGCAGGGGCCTTTGTTCATAGGATGGCTGGAGAAAATACTGTCTGGAATCTGGAACTGAGGTGGGACTGGGTATCACTGGTGAGCGTGCCGGTGAAGACAGGCTCACCCTAGCTTTGTACTCTCTGGGTGCACAGGCCCTTGGGCCGCTTCTGAGAGCCAGGCTTGAGCCCATCACTTCTTGGCACTTGGTCTGGCCCCTTCTCTCCATCCCCACAGGTCCAAAGTCAGAAGTGGCTTTGACCAACCCACAAGGGGCCTCCCTGCCATTTACCTTAGTCTCCCTGGTCAGCTGGAGTGGTGGAAGGCAACAAGGTTAACTGCAGCTTTCTTAGTTTTAAAGGGTCGAGATCTCCAACATACCTCCCTCGCAAGGGGCCTCTGCCAAAGAGTGATCTACTTCCTGTTTTGGGAAATCTAACCGCAGCCAGCCTGGTGGTTCCAGGGCAGTGAGCAAGCGGAGGAAGGAGGAGAGAGGAGGCTGGGGTGCCTTGAGTGTAGCCTCCCGTCCGGAATACTGTCAGTCTGCCATCAGGAGGGTGACGCCCTGGATGCTATGCAAAGCCTAGGTGTGTAAACATTAGTGCAAGCAAGGTGACCAGTGGGCAGGGGACACTGAGCCCTCTCTGCAGTCCCTTTACTGAACAAACACTTCCATAACTAAAACTGAAGATGGCATCGAAACAAGGATGGATAAGAATGACAGGCCCTGGAGCCCAGTCTCCCAAGAGCCCTGGATGTGGCCAGGGCTGTAAATTAAGCCTGCAGCTGTCGCCTGTCTTCCCGTGCCCAGTGTGGTCCTGGTTCCCAGGTTGACATGAGTGCACCCTGCTCTCTCCTGAGCCCAGTTGTACAGCCACTGCCAGAGTGCTCTGTCAGTCTCCCAAACACCAAGCGAAACAGAGCCAGACGGAACCTAACCCCAGCCTCAGTTCTCAGTCTGATCCACAGCATGGACAGCAGAACGAAGAGAGGGGAGGCAGCTGCCTCCAGCCTCAGGGCACTCTGGGGTGGGGTGGGGCCAGCCCAGCCTAGATTGGCAGCAGCAAGGTCTCTCTATGGTAGTGGCCATAGTTCCACACAGCCAGCCAAAGGCCTGTTTGAGAAAGGAGTGGGCCTCTGCCCTGGCTCTTCCCTGGAAGGGGCCAGTTAGTAGTCAACCCCAGGCCTCCAGCCATCACCACCTTGGGTAGTTCAATGTCCTTTCTGGGCCCGGGAACCTGGGCCACACATATGCACTCGCCATGTGCACACACTCATACCCACACACTCACACACACACAGGCAGTTCCTCTCCAATACCCCAAGTCAAGAAAGTGAGTTTTCAAGTGGAGTTAACTTCAGAGAGAGGTGAAGGCGCTGTCTCAACATTTGAAGGTTCTACTGTGGATGGACCGGGCACCATCTTCTTCGTATTCCTTCTTGGAGACCCACATCTTCTTAAAGGTGTCCAGGGAAGCAAGGATGGAGCCTCCAATCCACGTGGAGTACAGTCTCTCCTGGGGTGCAGATATCCTGATCTTCACATCTTTTGGAGCTAGTTTCTTCACTTCACTCAGTATCCTGTCACCAAAACCTTTGAACAGGGTAGAACCTCCTGCGAGGACGATGTTGGAAAAAAGTGTAGCCGTAGGTCCGTGTCAGACTTCTGGATGGCAAACACCAGGACCTCATGGATACCCTCACTCTCCTCACCAATCAAGTCTGCCTGAACAGCAGCTCAGGGGCCCGGAACCTGGAAGGGCCGATCTCAATGGTGCTGCCATCGGGCAGGTAGTACTGGGCCTTCTCCGTCTCTAGTGTCTCATCCTTCTGGGGGCTGATGGACAGGTAGCAGGCTCTTTCCTTTATGGCCTTGACAATCTCAAACTCAGAGGAGTGGAAATCATAGCCCTCCTTGCGGAGGTAGAGGCGAAGGAAGCAAGAGACATCTCTGCCAGCAATGTCAATGCGCATGATAGAGGGCAGCATGGCAAAGCCTTCGTAGATCCGGACTGCGTGGGTGACGCCATCCCCAGAGTCCAGCACCACACCTGTGGTCCTGCCTCTGGCATAGAGGCTAAGCACAGCTTGCATGGAGATGAAGAAGGTCTCAAAGAAAACTTCTGCAGCTCACTCCCGGTTTTTCGGAGGGCTCAAAGGAGCCTCCTCAGTCAGGCGCACAGGATGCTCTTCTGAGAAAGTCTGCAGCTGGTCCTTAGAATAGACATATTGCCAGATGCGTTCCATGTCATTCCAGACCTTGACGATGCCATGCTCCATGGGATAGCGGATTGACAGCAGCCCTCGGTGCTCCTCAGCTTTGGGGCCAATGGAGATGTCACCTTCGAGGGCTCCTGCCATGACACGAACATGTTGGGGTCTGCCCACATAGTTTGGAAAGCAGTATTTTGGGATCTGATCAGCAGCACAACCAGCTTTAACCACACCGGATCTGTTGTCGATCACAACAGGCTGGTTGGCAATCACATTGTAGGACTCCATGGCAGAGGAATCTTTCCTTCTGAGGAAGGAACTGCCAGCCAAATGTGGCAAAACCAACTGTGGGCTTTTCTTAATTCAGTTTGATTTGGTCTGATTTAGGTTGCTGTATTGGCGGAGAGGCTTATATAGGTGTAGAAACTTTTCAGTCAGGTTTGTATTAGTCCATAGATAAATGCAATCAGTCTTTTTACCCAAGCAAATTTTTGTTTTGTTTTGTTTTTGGAGACATGTTTTCATGTAGCTCAAGCTAGGTTTGAACGTGTTTTGTAGCCAAGGATATTCTTGAATTTCTGATTTTCCTGCTTATACTTTCTCAGTGCTGAGACAGCAGGCATGTACCACCACACCAAGTTTTCTGAAGGGCTGGGGGTCAAACCTGGGATTTACGGCATGCTAGGCAACTACACTAACTGCTAAGCCATGAGGTTTTCTCTCTCTTTCTTTCTCTCTCTTTCTTTCTCTCTCTCTTTCTTTCTTTCCCTCTTTCCTTCTTTCTTTCTTTCTTTCTTCCTTTCTTTCTTTCTTTCTTTCTTTCTCTCTCTCTTTCCTTCCTTCCTCCCTCCTTCCTCCTCCCATCCTTCTTCCTTCCTTCATTTTTTCTTTCTTTCTTTAATTAAGAAACTGTTATTATTCTTTTCCCTGAGAGAGTAGGCATTGAAATACACTGTTTTTTTCCAACCTAGACTTGGGGCAATGTGAAAACTGTGAAATAGATTTAGAATTCTATTTTTAACTGGTGTGCAGAGAAAGGAAAAGGACTATTGTCGTGTCCTCCTAAAAACCACATGTTTATTTCAAAAAGGAGACAAAGAATATTTAAGAGCCAAGGCTTTGGGCTTGAATCAAACATTATTTGAATTCCAGCTATGGATTTAAATTTCCTGGGCAGCCATTGCTTTGTCTATACAGAGGAGAGGCATTGTTTTCCAGATCGATGACAGTAAGGAAGGAAACCCTGTGTATGAAGAGCTTGGCTTGGTGTTCAGCATGCAGAGTACATGCAGATCAGGCTGCTGCAACTGTGGCATTAATCACGGCTGGATTTTCATATTGCAGGTTCTTCTGATGGCATCGCCCTCTGTGGTACACCGACAATGATAAGGGACAATGGGGCATTTCTAAGACAGTCCTGAATGGAGGGGCACACCTTATTTCATATCTTCAACTCTAGACCAGTGGTTCTCAACCTTCCTAATGCTGCGACTTTTAATTCAGTTCCTCATGTTGTGGTGACTCCCAACCATAAAATTAGTTTTGTTGCTACTTCATTACTGTAATTTTGCTATTTTTATCCATCATAATATAAATACTTTTGGAGATAGAGGTTTGCTGAGGAGGTTGAGAACCACAGCTCTAGGTGGATCCTGGAGTCAGACAGAGTGTGAAAATGAAGATCAGGAACTTGCAACTTATTAGAGGAAGATTACGTAGGAATTATTCTAACAATATCAATATTCTTGATCAGGAACTTGCAACTTATTAGAGGGAGATTAGATAGGAATTATCGATATTCTTGGAAATCAGGAGAAAGTCTCTTACACTATGGAAATGTGAAGAATCCTGAACAGTGGCCCTAACCCCTCATTTTAAAGACAAGGAAACAGAGGCCGGGCGGGAGCAGCTGTCCATCCAGCGAGGGATTAATCCACTTGTTCTAAATTTCAAACTGGAAATGTTGTTTTTCCTTTTCAGCAGATACTTGGCTATTAGGTCAAAGAATTGTGGGAGGGGATGGGGTGGACTTCTAGCACCTTCTATTATTGGCCTATTTCCTCACAGCCCATTAACTTTGCCTGGGTAAATATTAAGCAGGCTTCGAGTCCTTGATGTCCTGACTTCTCACATCTTCCCGAAACTGACCCTCCAGTGTTTTTAGATTTTGTTTTTCCTGCTAGCAATGATTATCTCACCTCGGTTTCTGTCTCTGAAAAATGGGGTTCTGTCACAACATCTTCATGTCCACCTGAACACCACCCACAGTACCCACCAGCAAACTCCTAGGTCATCTTTCTATTTTCCTCTCCCCTGAGGCTTAGCCCTGCCTGAATTTGCTTATTTTGCCTGACTACTTAGAGTGGTGTACTGCTGGGAGGGAGGTCACTTGTCCCCTCTGTAGTCCCAGTGTCTAGGACACCACCAGGAGCCCAGAGCAAATGCTCTAGAGCTGTCCGTTGTCACATTTTTGAGACAGACCTTTAAGCATTATCTTCCATTTGTCCAGCATTCTACTATGTGGCAAGAGCTGTACTGTCTGAAGGCATCACCTCATTCTTATTATTGGTGTACTTGAAATATCTTAGCAAGACGGGCCTTCTGTCCTCTTTGCAGAGTTCCCAGTCATCATGGAAGTTGCTAAAACTGGCTGGATTCCAGCCCCAGGGCTCCCTCATACCTTTGGTCCTTAGCTGTTGTACTCAGTGCCATAGTGGTATCTGCTGTAGTTATCTAAAGAAAAGAATGCCAAGGAGACTGACTTGTTTGGTGTCAATAAAAGGTGAGTTGGGGGTGGGGAACATTTAAATTAGGATTCCGGCTCTATTTCTGTGCTGCCAGAGGATTACTTTCCTTAATTATTATCAGCAGACTGTCCTTGGTTCTCTCCAGTGCAGAGAATCCATAATCCAGGCACCCCTGATGTTTCAGCAATGCCAAACTTGTCTGAGTTCCAGGATATATGTGGTTTGGGCTCTCTGCCTTCTGCTCTTGTCCAGGGCAGTCTGCCAACTGAGTCTTGCTGTGGCTGCCACACCTTCCAACATGCCTCCCCTTGGGTCAGCCCAGGACCTAGAGTTGGACATGGGCTACTCTTGCCCATACACCGCTGCGTCAGGGCAACGCCCACGGGAAGAGTGACCTTGCCCACTGCAGTAGGAGGCACCCTTTGAAACCTCTCCTCTCTTGTCCTCCCGAGAGTCAGGTTAAAACCATCAGCCTCACTTCCTGAGGGCAAACTCTGAGAGCCTGCTGCCAGGAGCTAGAGACCTCACTTACTGGGAGTCAGCATGTCAGCTGTGGTCCTGGAGAACCCAGTGCTGAGCAGAAAACTCTCAGACTTTGGGCAGGTGAGTGTGGTGAGCCTCCATAGCAGGGAGAGGCTTAGTTCCCTAGATGGGAAAGCAGTCTGGGAGATACTGGTCTTTCCTAAGGTCACTAGGAAATACAAATTTATTTGAAGATAATGAAAATGCCTAGGAAGGCAACTGATAAGTCTGTCCTTAACAAGTGGAGGGACATCTATCCTTTGAGGATGCAGAGAGGTTGAAGCTCTGACTGCCAAAGTGGCTACTACATCTTTGCGTCTTTAGATAACTCATTGGCTACCTGTGCTATCTGCTTTACCTTCTGAAAGGAAAGGGCTGGTCCTTAATCATCTGGGGTAGTAGTCCTACTGTGTCTCAACAGCTATACAATCCTTTCTTCTGGGTATGGAAACAAGAATGTAAGAAACTACCCTTCTTTAACTTTCAGGAGATGATGTAGCATGAGAGAGTTTGGGGACTTACTCAGATGTGATGAGGGAGAGAACAAGTTGAGAGAAAAATTAATGGGATTTAGCCCTGAGCTTGTGCGTGCCTTGGGGATTATGTAGTAGGTCGAAGGGGTCTGTTCTCTTAGGCATTTGCTGTCCTCTCCGGGGAGCCCGTGCAGAACATGTTCTTTACTGGGATGTATGTGCTTGCCCCGGTCGAGAATCATGGTTTGAGCACTGAGATTCAGATTTTGGAGGTAATGTACTCACAGGTAGCTGCTTGTGCAACCCTCAGGAACTGTCTCCGGAGAGCTGAGTCGTTCCAGACAGTAGGAGGGAGTTGATATCAAAGTCAGAATAACTAGGTAGACCGAATAATTCTGTACCTGTCATCATGCCGTGGACCAGGGGAGACCCTTTGTGAGCCCTTCCTCTGACAGGACTGATGGTCCAAGGGTACCTAGAGTCAGAGGCTTAGTGTTGAAGAAGGTTGGTATGAGGGGTGGGCAGGCCGGTCCATAGACCGTGACTCTATTCTATTCTAGGCTTTGGTGTTGCTGGGACAGCCTCTCAGCCATCTGGGGAGCTTAAGCCAGTGATCTGAGGGATAGGGCCTTACAGATTTATTTATAAAACACTTATGTGATTGTGAGCCCACAGATTGTTCCTGCCAATACCAGGGATACTAGAAGAGGATCCAAACATGTCCTGGTACAAACATCATCATAAGAAGTACAGTATTTTCCTTTGAAAAATAAGAATAAAAACCCCTCAGATTCTAGGGTTCAGAAGAAAATCAAACAATGCCTATGCATATCTTACTACCATTTCTAGACCATTTGAAACTGTCAATGTGTATTTGACAGAATGTGTCTTGAAGAGCAGGAAAGTTAGACAACAGACAAATACCAGGCCTGATGTCATTCGCTCATGGGAAATCCTCCACACACACAGTCAAGACACCAGGGTTGTCCTTTTTGGGGACATAATCTATGTACTGTGAAGTCACTCAGTGAGGCCAGGCAGTTTCTTAGTGTCTGTAAAATTGAGGCTGGATGCTGGAATAGGTTAGTAATTTTGGTGTCTTCTAGCTCTGTCAGCCTGCAGACGAAACATATTTATGTGTTCTTAAAATTTTTTATTATATTTATTTATTTATGTGTGTGTGGAGATGAGGTGTGTTCCACAGCATGTGTAGAGGTCAGAGGACAATTTGGAGAGGCAGTTCTCTTCTTTCCTGGTGCTGAACTCAAATTGTCAAGCTTGACAGCAAGCACCTTTTTATGCTAAGCCATCTTGTCAGTCCTGTTTGCGTCTCCTTAAAGCTTCCCACCCAGATAAACAGCATATATTTGACATAATTCTAATAAAAGGGAGACTGCAGGAAGGAGCCACCATTTGTCCAGGGCATATAAAATGTCAAAGCTTTATCCATATAGCAAGTGCCACCAGTCTGCGGGAGTGAGTGGTTTAACACTGTCATTCACCCAACAGATTAAGAAGCACCTACTGTGTGCCAGTTATAGCAGTGTTTTTCCCCTGGTAAAACTGCTTATTTTAGAATGAAGTGTAGTATAGTTTCATACAGAGACAGGAGCTGTGTACAGTGTGGGACCAGCGAGAAGCTCAGAGCCACCAGTAGGTACAGCGCAGCCAGTGTTTAGTCTACTCTGGCCCCACAAATGAGCACACTGCTTCCCTGTGACCTTTCCTCCTGTGGGAAAATGCTGAAATATGCAGACATATTATGTCCACACCCTGCCACATAGAGGTGTGTGGCTTGGACCCTTCACATCTTGCTTTCAATAGTTCTTCCGTGTGGATGTACACAATGGGATTGTGACCACACAGGCAAATGCCTATGTGTTTTGTAAACCCCAGATCACCAGTATTGGCCCAGAACATCCTTGACAGAGCATATTGCTTGTAAATATGAAATGTAATTATTTCCAGAGATGACAGACTGTGTTTGTGTTCACCGCATAGCTAAAAAGAACAGTCTGTGCTTATTGCTGAATGCATTGGTCAATGATCAAAGTTCCTCACTCTTTGGTTTCTGGTTCTTTTACTTGCACGGTTTCTTCCTTGACAGTTTAGGACTACTGTTGCTTGTAAGTCTGTTAGAATCAAATAAGGCATAGCTCTTGAGCCAATAGAAATACAGGATAAAAGAGATTTTTCTCATGGCCCTGGATTGGCTAGGTTAACCTGGAATTTAGCACCATCAAGGCCCACACCATCTCACAGACTTCTCTGGGCTTCCTGTCGTGTAAAGTCCTCCTGATTTAGAAAGAAGGAGCCTTTGTGTCAGTTGAGCCTGTCACTGGGGAGCAGAGTAATAGTGTTGAGATCACTGAACCCAGGTTCAAGACCAGGCTTTGTTACCTATTAGCTGGATCGCCTAGGACAAGGTACTTGACCCATCTAACCCCGTTTCTCCATTTTCAAAACTACAGGACCTTCCTCACTGCACTCATGAGGACCCAATGGCCTGTTCCAGGGACCATGCAAAGAGTGGTAGCTGCCGCCAATGACAACATGTATTGAGCATAAAAGGACATGGTTTTGTTCCTATAAATAAGCAGATGCCCACTCAGGGGCAGATGGAGTACTGTCACTCATAACAATAGAGTAGAGCCATGCTACTTCATAGATGTGAATCTGCAGACAGTTGCAGGAAAAGTAATGATTTAAGAACAATGGAAGTATATATTTATTATCAGTGGCTTTGAAATTGTCCATGGTAAAATTTGTTAACGATAATTTTGATAATGAAGGACCTGGGGAAATCCTGTGAGCACTAAGAGGCAGCTTTATGTGATGGCAGGGAGACCAACAGAAAATGACCTGTTGCTTAGGAATCACTCCCCGAGAGGATGACAATGGATTCAGTAGTTGTTGGACACACACAGGAGAGGGCCCTTGGTGGTGGACACCCGGGTCTCTATCACAGGTGTCTTTAGCTCTAAGGCGTCATGTGTTGACATGTACCAGGGACACCTCACTTTTCTTAGCTATCAAGAGAAAGTGAACTGGAAACAGGGAAGCCCTTTGTTATTTCAAGGAACTCAGAAATGACTTAGACTCAATATTCTCTGGAGGTCGAGGGGGGCAGAAGTCAGGCTCATCGGCATGTCTGACAGGCTTTAGAAGAGAGAGAGAGAGGCAGAACTGAAGAAGGCCGTGACTCATGGTCAGTAGCATCGTCTAATGGTCCAGGTCATACACTAGTGCCATTGCTTATTGTGGAATCAGAGGCCAGTTGCTTAGCTGTGTGTGTGTGTGTGTGTGTGTGTGTGTGTGTGTGTTGTGTGTGTGAGAGAGAGAGAGAGAGAGAGAAAGAGACAGACAGACAGAGACAGAGACACAGAGAGAGACAGAGACAAAAAGACACAGAGGCATACAGTTGCACAAGTATTTGTGAGCCAGAGGATAACTTTGAGAGTCATTTCTTTGGCACCTCCTTCCTTATTTAACAGACAAGTGTCTCAGTGGTCTGGAACTCACCATACAGTTAGCTGGGATAGCCAGGGAGCTCCCAGGATCCACCTGGTCCCATTTCCATGGTCTTGGGATTAAAATCACATGTCCACGCTATCTCCACAGCACTAGTAATTTAGCTTCTCTAAGACAGAATCTTGCCAGTAATGAAAGGAGGGACGTGGTGTACAATCAAACCTGTTTCACTGATTGTTTTCAAAGTTAAATGAGATTGTCCAAATCAAGTAATGGACACGGAACATTAAATTCTCTTTAAAATAGCATAGTACCTTTCTTTAAAAATATCTATTATTTATTTAATGTGTGCCTGTGTGTGCCTGGGTGTATATGTGTGCACTGCATGCATATAGGAGCCCGTGGAGGTCAAAAGAGACTCTAGATCCCCTGGAAAAAGAGTTACAGATAGTTGCAAGCCACCATGTAGATACTAGGAATTTAACTTAAGTCTTTTGTAAGAGCAACTGGTGCTGTTAACCACTGAGCCATCTCTGCAGTCCATAGGGCCAAATAGCAGGTCAATCCTCTAATTTACCTGAAGGGTCCTATAACCCAACTTGCTGAAAAATTGGTACTTCCGACTTCATATAGAATTCTGGGAAATATCTGAACTTTCTGAAGTTTCAGATTTTTGTCCTGAGAATCTCCCAGGCTCTCAATCTGAGTCCCTGACAAGAATCTTCCATCACTGTCTTCTGTCCCTGAGATGATGAAATTTCCATACCATTAATTTAATTAACTTGCTTACAAGAGAGTAAGTAATTGTTCTTCACATTTTCTTCTGCATTTTAGGGGAATGCTGTCTATTAGGGATGTGCATACGGAATGTCGTGAAGTATCTTAAAACTTAAAAAAATGTCTTAGCAAACTCTGAATGCTCACACTTATTCCACTTTCTTTTGCTCCCTCATTGAAGGAACCTACTGTGTGATAATAATATTTTCATCATTTTACATATAATGCCAATATTCTATTTAAACTTATGTTTTCTTTTTTCAACATTCGGATTTTGGCCAGAGCTTATTCTTACTATTATTTTATAGGTGAGGAGATGAGGTAAAGAGATCTGCTCAAAATTGTGTTAGTGGTAAATGGACGAGAGAGGGTAACACTCAGGCCTTTGGACCCATAGCCTCTGAATGTCCATTTTTAATGTTTTTTTTCACATTGTGTTTCCCAGTGGTTTTTGTTGTTGTTGTTTGTATGTTTGTTTGTTTTTTGGACCACTTGGTCTTCTTCTAAGAACCTCCTGGCTTCCTGTATTTGTGTCTGCTAGTCAGAATTTTGACACTGAAAGGATGGGTACATTTACCTTTTCAGACTTAGATCTCCTGAAGATGTGTCATAGGATCTGGCACTAGGTGGGTGCTCATCAAAAGATACTGTGTTTTTTTTTCCCCAATGACCGGTGATGTCAACAAGTAATTTGAGCTTATAAAAATTGAAAGCCAACCCAGGAGTGACATTCTTTATTTCATTGTCCTCAACTTATTTATTTCTGAGCACACTGCTTTCTGTGTAGAATACATGGAGTTCATTGTGTTCCAAAGCTTAAGGAGAAGAAAAAGTTTATGCTAGCCTCTTCTCCTGAGGTTTCAAGGGAATAATTACTAAGCTGTGACAAACCTTTTAACCCTGTGATTCAATTCTGTAGGAAACAAGTTATATTGAAGACAACTTTTAACCATGTGATCTAACTCTGTAGGAAACAAGTTATATTGAAGACAACTCCAACCAAAATGGAGCCGTGTCACTGCTATTTTCACTCAAAGAGGAAGTCGGTGCCCTAGCCAAGGTCTTGCGTTTGTTTGAGGTAAGTGTCCTGGGCAACCAAATAGTCATAGCCTTGATGTTTTTTTTTAAAGAAAACATTTTCTAATTTCTTTGAGAATTTAATGTAAAATCTTTGATCATGTTCACCCTTCTTCCAGCTTCTCCTACATCTACTTTCCTTTTCCTACCCTTGCCCCTCAACTTTGCTGACCTGCCAGGGCTGCATCCTTAAAAAAACATGAAAGATCTCTCCCTCTTCCACCAGCAATCATGAGCCAACAGCTCCTCAGCTAAGGGTGGGACTTCTTGTCTACCTCCCATTTCTGCGCTATGGCTTTGTCTGGCTTAAGCTGGTGCAGGCCATGTGCCTGCCACTGCCACTGTTTTGAGTTCATACATGTAGCTGCGTTGCAATGTTTGGAGAACACGGTTCTGTTTCAGTCAGCCATTGCCTTTGGGTCTTGCAATCTTCCCACTCCTTTTGCAATGGTCCCAGAGCCTTTGAAGGAGGATATAATGCAGATGCCTCATTTAGGACTGAGAATTCTAGTCTCATTCTCTGCACCTTGACCATCTGTGGGTCTCCATTAATCACCTTCTACCACAGACAGAAGCTTCTCTGATGAGAGTTGAGAGATGCACTGACATATGGGTGTAAAAATAAGTCACTAGGAGTTGGCTTAATATCATGTCAATTTAGCTGAATAACAGTAGTAGGTTCTCCCTCAGAGCCTGTGACTTGCTGACATATCTTCACAAACACGCAGATGTTTGTCTTCTAGTTGATTACAAATCCAATCAGACTAACAATGAAGATTAGTCATCATCATGGCCAAATGGCATTAGATATAAATTAATAAAATATCAATAACAATGGTCTGGTGCTAAATCTGAAATCCAGCGTGTTGCCCTTGCCAAGCCAGTACTCTAATACGGACAGACACCTTCAGCCCTATTAATCAATTTTGGACATCTAAAATTACTCTAGTATATGAAGCGTATTTAAAACTTAAAACCTGATTTTCTAAATTGGTGGTGGTAGCTGGGAGTAGATGAATGCCCAAGTGTAAAGAGAGGACATGGAAAGAAGGAAGCATTTCCTGAGGGACAAACTGCTCCTGAAAAGGATGCTTCTGTAGGGCACTCCAGCGCACCTACTCAGCCTCTGTATTTGGGAGTCACGTGTTCTTCTTGAAAAGTTGCCCTTTGGGACCAAGTCAGAGTTAATGGATTAAATAATAATAAATGGAGAGGCTGTTTACACTGTAATAAATAAACCACAAGTAATAAATTAGCAGAACTGGATGGGGAGCACTGTGTGTGTGTGTGTGTGTGTGTGTGTGTGTGTGTGTGTGTGAGTTGCAAGCATGCATGAACACACATGTGTGCTCTGGCTGGATTCTTTGATGCATTATCCAAATCCCAGTTCCTTAGGGGCCTTATTTTACCCATCCTGCCAAGGAGGATACAGAGCTTAATGTGTTGGTTGGGTAGTGGAAGTTGTTAGTGTGTATTGATTTCTTTCCCTCAAGTACCTTCAAAAGTTACCATAGAAACACCCCATCCCAGTATACTTTGAAAAGCCATAGTAACATTCTGGTGATGTTCATAGTTAAATAACAGTCACTCAAAGTAGTGAGTAAAGGGAGAAAACAAATTCTTGTTCTCATATAAGCCAGACACATCAGGTTCTCCACTCAGAGATGGAAGCCATTATTTTATTGTATGGATGAGGGAACCAAGGGGCTGAGTAACTCCACTCAAGATCACACAGGGAATGTGCAATGGAGGTAGGTTGGAACCCTGTGTCTCAGGCTTCCAAGTCCAGGATCTCTCTGTGATATCCACACTTCTATCTAGCAAAAATAGCTTAGAGGATAAAGGGAGGTGCTGAGGTCACTGTGCTTTTGTAAGTTTGTATCTTTTACTACACTTTTGTGTTCTGACAAACAAAGTTTCTGGACATAAAAAAGTTAAATCAAAAGCAGTAAATGACAAAGCAAATGAAAGAAACTAAACTGTACTTTAAGGCAACATTTTCTTTAAAAAATGTCTTGCAAATTCTATATTGTTAGAAAAGGACTCCAACAATCCATTTTAGATCTTGATTTTAGAGAGTTACACTGCACACAGACACATTAACAACTGGCAAGCTTGCAGTGGGAAGACCATTGTCACACTTTGTATTTTTAAACACGTTTGACCATGGCACCTTCTTTAGGGACCACATATGATATTCTAGGTTTTAGTATATAGCACGTGTTGTGTGGAAGACTACTCCTGGGAAGACACACCACACATACAACACACCTGTACTCAGTCCACAACAGACAAAAATAATGATTGCAGCAATGTCCAAGCTGGTTGACCAATGGGTTCTTATGGGGGTCACTCTAAGGAGTACGGGTAAAGTTTTACTTATAGGAGAAGGGATGATTGTAAACGTTTGGGCGGATCCGATGGGACAGGTATTCCGGCACTCAGGAATCACAGAATACTGAGTGTTACACACCTTAGATGGAAAGGTATCCTGGGGCTCGAGAGCCAAGGACTACCACAGGTTGCAGTAAGCTCAGCAGCTTACAGCCCTGCCTCAGGGAAAGGCTTCCCCAGTGTATCTGCTCTGCTCCACATCGAAGGGGTTTATTAGAAGGAAGCATGAACATATGCAGAGTTTATATAGGGATTCTTGGGGGCAGGGGAAGTTTTTCCAGGGTAGCGATTGGTCAGATTTCAATGCTGAGCTCAGATTGGCTAGAGCTCCTGCTTGAGGATTGGTTAGTTTTCTGAACAGGGTTGGGGTCAGATTTGGCTCTGGTTTCAGGGCCAAAGTGTGTTTCTTTCTCTGGTCCTTTTTAGTCTTTTGGCTCTAGTTTTAGGGTCAGGGTGCATTTCTTTCACTGACTCTGATTCCAGGGACAAAGTGTGTTTCTTTGGCACCAGTTTCAGGGTCAGGGTACATTTCTTTGGTTCTGGTTGCAGGGCCAAAGTGTGTTTCTTTGGCTCTGCTCAGGGTGTATTTCTTTGGCTGGTCCTTTTTCCCTACAATGATCCAAAAACAAATAAACAAAAAAGCAGTTGCACCACCAGAAACCTCTCATGCACATATGGGTGACAACTTCAAAGAGCTGCAACCCTGGAGCTCTCTGTACCACTTGTGGGCAGTTCACAGGACACTATTTTTGTTGCAGCTCAGCTGGTCAGAGCTCTTCCCTTAGCAGTTGTTGACCTGACCAATGCTGTAATCCTGAGGGGGGAGGGGCTTTGAGAACTTTCTGTCCTCCCTTCCACAGACATGTGACCCTTTGTTTACCTGTTGAGTCTCAGGAGCCTCCTCCTCCCTCCTAGGTGCAAAGTTTCAATTTGGAAAAACTGCTGTACAGCAGTCTGAATTGTGGCAGCGAGGAATACACCACATTAAAGTTAAGAGGTTCCTGTTTAGAACCCAAACACAGTCGTTCTACTATAAACTATAAGCAAGCTGTTTAATCTCTTGGCTTAGTTTCCTCAGTTTCAAGGTGAAGGGGTTTCTACAAAAACCAAACCTACTAATTTGTGAAAACTGGTTACAACAGTAACTGACATAGAGTTAGATATCAAAAAATGTTTGTTGTAGTTATTTCTGTGTACTGTGGGTTTCAGAAAAACTAATAGAAGAATGAAGTTTATTGGGTTGTAAGGGAGAAGGCTGGGTATGGGAATATTCACCAATCTGGGATTGTCCATGGAAGGAGACTCCTAGAAACTTTCTTAGTGTCAGACACAAGATGGCAACGAATAGAAATACAGGGAATATATTTAAAATTGTTTATGGGTGGCTTCTCTAATATGGAAGGCATTCATTTCAAGCATAACATATGTTAAAATAGATCCCCAAAAGGATAATATCAGAGCAAAAGGTATGCTATAAAAATACTTACCTTTCCTTAATAGAGACAGAAGGTAAAAGTCTGTCCTCTGAATATTGGCCTGAGAGGGACAAGCATTTCATAATGGGATAATCACACATCTCCTACGGCTTTCTTATTAAATAGCCCCACAATGACTCCAGGCTTGATGAGCAGCTCCAACCCTCAACACCCTGTAGTGTAGCAGATACACAATGAGATGCTTAGTTAGCCCTTACTAAATACTCAGAGTAATAATGGAAGTTACAGTGATGTGAACCTAGATCATGGTCCTCTGGCCTGACGCCATGTGGAGACTTTCTCAACTCAATTCCTAGTAGGAAATACTAAAGCATGCTAGCTCCTCAGAGAAAGAAGGGTCTGTCGTATAAGTGCAGGCTCCTCTTGGACTAGTCAGGGTCTGTACTTTCCGTTCAAGCTCATCACTCCATGGCATAGTCAGCTCAAAGTCACCTCCCCACTAAGGAACCACTTTGCCCATCACTGGCCTTACAGACCTCAGCTGGTAGCTACATCAGAGTGCACCTCAAGGAAACCCATGCTTATAAAAGAGACATAGGTTACTCTGTGTTGTTGAGGGATGGTTAGAGATGAAGTAGATGTCTGTTAATTGGAGTCCAAACAATTAGGAACATGCTCAAACCTCTCCTTACTGACCTGTGGACACTTGCTGTCCTCACCAGAGTGTTTTAACTCTCAATTCTTTATGCATTTATCTCAGCATTTTCCACAGCACTCTATTTTTAGCCCCTTCAGGCTCATATCCCGCTTCAAAGGAAAAACAGTCTTTTTTAACAAGACATTTAGTGATGAATCATAAAATCAGAAGAAGTTCCCTTGGGAGAAGGTACAAAGAAGAACTCTTTCTTTCTCTTCATGTGCCCAGGGAAGGGAGTAGACAAGGAAACAGATCAACAAAGCTATGAGATCTGAGGCCATGTCGGACATTCTCCAGCAGCCTCAAGTAGACTGTTTAACCTGTGGAGGTGAAGAGTTTCAGTTTGGCATGCTATCCACACTGGGACAGGCACAGCTGGTATTGGTTCTGAATTTAGACTCCCCTTTCATGGATGTGATTGATCTTTTAGAAACAATCAAAAGGAAACTGTCTACCTTTGTCACATGCATTCCCTGTGCCCTAGCTCTGTCCAGAGAATGCACTCCTTCCACTCATCCGTTGTTTGGTGACCTCATGCCCACTCATCTATAAACCAGTTACTATCCTTGAAGCAGATCCTTTTGTTAGGTCCTATATAGATGATGGAGACATTGAGGTGAGTGAGCTAGGCAGCCAGCCTCTGTGGCTGCAGAACTTACAGACTCTTTGTTACCAGGCAACTCAAATGGAGTTGCTGTGGATATTTTGCATTCTGAAAATTGTTGTTACTTACTTTATAGGATGTCATTTGGTGCTACAGTCTATTTAATCATCCCCTGCTGAGGGTGTTTAGTTAGCTAACAAACTTTGTGATTTTTTTTCCTAAGTTAGATTTCCAATATCATAAAAATGGAGTCATGGCATATAAGCTGTTCTGTGGTTATTCCCAAGGCAAAGGGCTGCTACTACCCCCTCCTCCTCCCCTCTATACTTCTCCTCCGCTTTCTCCTCTTCTTCTGGTCCCTCTTCTCCTCCCCTCCTCCTTGCCAACCTCTTCCACTTCCCCATCCTCATTTTGATTTTGTTATTGAGATGGTGTCTCACTATGCAGCCACAGCTCTAGTGGAACTCACTATTAGACTAGGCTGGCCTCAAACTCAGAGAGATCCTCCTACCCCTGTCTCCCTAGTGTGCTACCACTTCCGGAGAAAACGGAACTTTTTGGAGGAAGTGATTACTCTTAGGGGTGGCCTGTGGGTGGGTGGTCAGTCCCCCCAGGGTGTGGTTTGCTTTCTAGCATATCTTCCACCCTGCACACACCTCTCTGTCTTCTGTGTACCATCTCAAACTATTACACAAATAAAAGTCTCATTTTGGTTCTTGCCCTTATTGTGTTCTTTTCTCTGTTTTTGGTCATGTAAGTCAACTTTCTAGGCATTATTTATTAAAAATTTTCATGTAATATATTTTGATTATTTCCCTCCTTTAATTCCTTCCAGACTTTCTCCACTTTTCTCTCTACAGCACAGACTTTGGTTGCCTCTTAAATTTCAACAGAAGTAAACAGTAGGGAGGGCTTATACGTTCTCTTTCTTCCTAAGCCAAGAAACATGACACTGCTTTTTGCTTTGCTTAGAAAATGACCTCTTTTCCTGGGGAAGCTTCACACTGTCTCCTGGGCCCCGCCTGCCTCCTGCAGGACTTCTCTCTCCTTCCACTCTGGGGCACACATGTGGTCTTATCTGAATGACAGGTGTTCTCTGTAGAGTGAAGATGGGACCAGTGGTAACATCCTGGGGCCTCGGGGCCCACAGGAAGAGAGCCCAGGTCAGACTCCTTACTCTGTTCCTTGTTCCCCGAGATTCTGACTTTTTTGTTTGACACAATATTAATAAAAAATCCTCTGGAAATGTAAGGGATTCCTTATACTAGTGCTTTAAAAACCCTCTTGCTCTTTAACTCCTGCTTGCTGTCTTGTGTTGTGTACTGCCTCTGTGTCTTTGGTAGTGATGAAAACCGGCCACTCACACCTATCATTTTCTTTGTAGGAGAATGACATCAACCTGACTCACATTGAATCCAGACCTTCTCGTGTAAACAAAGATGAGTACGAGTTTTTCACGCATCTGGACAAACGTAGCAAGCCTGCTTTGGGCAGCATCATCAAGAGCTTGCGGCATGACATTGGTGCCACTGTCCATGAGCTTTCCCGAGACAAGGAGAAGAACACAGGTGGGAGTCTGAAGAATGTGACCTAAACAATATGACACCGTTTTCATAAAGCAATAGCATGGATGGCAACTGGAAGGTGTGCATAAGGGAGAGGAAGAAAGCCAAGGACCTAGGCCAAAGCCTAGCATAAATGTAGACACAATTTTCAGCTACTTTGCCCATCCTCAATGTAGCCGTTTCTTATTCCCATTGAATATGTTGAAAGACAAGATACTGTGTAATCCAGAGTGTTCTGAGCTCACTAAGTAAGTGAGGTTGCTCTTGAACTTCTGATCCTGCTGTTTCCACCCGCCAAGTACTTAGATTACCATGCCTAGCCTATATAGAGCCAGGCAGTAAATTCAGTTCATTGCACATGCAATTTCTCATTTATTTTTTTTAATTCCTGGGCTATGATACTCTCTGCCCTACCCAAAGAGCTTTCCCCAAACTTTTATAGCATACCAAACCTGAATCTTCTATCTGTTTATCTTTCTCTCTCACTAATCACAAACTCTCATGCACACATAGTCTTTCTTTACTCATGTCTGTGCCCTCAGAGTTTAGCGCAATGTATGACACATAGCTATGATTGATGAGTGAACAACTAGTATTGGCATTGTTAAAACTTGCAGCGTTTTGCTATCTACTTACCATAGGAATTACAGGTATGACAAGCTTAGAGTTGGATCAGTTTGGGTTTGACATTCCTTCAGTTACTGACTTTGAGATCCCTTCTTTGTGTTTTCATAGTGCCTTTGTCATGAACAAAAGAGATTAAGCACAAATGCTGCTTAGCATAGTGTCTAGCATGTTATAAGGACTGGCTCAATGGCAATATGGGGTTGTTAGGCTTAGGCTTAGCATGCAAAGAATATGCACAAGGAAAATGATGGATTGCTCTTTAGAATGCAAAGAATATTCAGATGAACTGCTTTAATAGATAGAATTTATTTTGCAGAAAAGTGAGCAAAACGTACAGAGAATTCTTATGTATTTATACTAGAAAGTCTAGAATTTACATTTAAAACTGCTTTGTGTTGTAGTTTTTGCTGGTTTTAACCGATGCATGGTGCTCTCTTATCTGCCACCACAGTGACATACAGAACAGTTTCAGTGCCTTAAATCTGTCTTCAGTCTCCACTCCTCCTTCGTGACTCTCTCTTATTTACGGTGGTGTAGTTTTGCCTTTTCCAGAAGCAACATTTTAAATGGACTTCATTAACTCTTGACTTTATATGTCATTTCATTTATCCTAAAATAATATCCCATTGCATTAACTTAACCCCACTTTAAGGACATCTTGGTTGACTCCAATTTGGGGTTACTTTGAACAAACATAAACATTCATGTATAGGTTTTTGTGTTGACATGTTTTCAACTCATCTTCGTGGACACCTAAGAGGATGTTGGCAAGATGAACTTCATTTCAATTGCTGCATTTTCTACTGTAGAATCCAGAGTAGCTTTCCCAAACCCTGACTGCTTTAGGGCAAAAACACACTGTTACTGAACTGGCCCACAGGTGCTCAGCACCAGCAAGATAAAGGATGGCTCTTAGTGACAAAATGAACTAAAATTATAAATAAAATAAAAGATAGAGGAAGCATTTTTAAACATTACGCCACAAAAAGGTGACCAATGTTTGAAGAGGATAAGTAGACTACTCCAGTTTTAACATTATATAATTTACAAGTACATGGAAATATCACATCCTGCCATCCAATTTCCCCACCCTCTCCTTCCGTTCCTCTATCTTGATCTCTCTGTTCTGGGTATTGTGCTCATATTTATATCCTTGAGCATTTTTAAGAATTGGTACAATTCTTACGTGCCAATGGAAAATTATTTAAAATTTTATTGGAGAGGCAGAGATGCCTTAAATAAGACCACATGCAGTTTGCAGAACAGGCAGGAGAAAGAGCCTGAAAGGCAGCTCTAAGACTTCCGGGGATGTCTTGCCTCCCCTCTCCTCTCATAGGCATCGTCTGGTCCCATCCGACTTGCCCTTGCCCACAGGGCTCAGATGGGCTCAGATCGGGAGGGACCCTGTAACTCTTCCTCTCCTCGTCAGATCTCTTGCCTCCTTCTTTTCGCCTCCCAGGCTGATGCCTGCCCTCTCCTGCTTTTCAGGCCACCTGCTTCCAACAGGAACTTCAGGCCCTCAGGACAAAGGGCCTGCTGGGTCCTGGGGCCAGCTCTGCCCATGGGTGGAGCAGGTGGAGGCTGGGCCAGCTGGGCTCTGGAGTCAGAAATCAAAGCAATTGACAGGCAGGCAGGCGCCACTTGGAGAGCTAGAAAGATGTATGTGGGCCAGCTGGAAGGCTGCAGTGAGCTGGAGGCTGCAGAAGGAGGCTCTTGGAGTAGATACAAAGAGGAAGCTAAGGGCCCAGCTTCTGTAACCAAGACATGGCACACTTGGTGTGACTTTGCTGACAACCTCCTGATGCATCCGATGGAACAAACAAGAGTCCCTGACATTACGGGGCTAATGAAATTATATCATCAGGCATTGGAAATGGAGCAGAGGTTGTTTCGGAGCTCCATAAATGCTTTACGTTCTTGCATTATTATCATTGTTATGAAAAATAACTCAACTACAGGAGCCACAACAATTCAGCTTGTATGAATATTTTTCTCATAGATTCCAAGAGCTGGAACGTGATCTCAGAGGGCATGCAACCCTACAGACTCCTAATTTTTGCATTGTGAGAATAGAGGCTGTGACTTGCCTTAAGGCAGAGAGTAAATTCTGCGTGGTCACAGGCAAGAGTATGCTAAGTATCAGCTGATCTGTGACAGGCATTGTGCTGGGAGCTGGAGAGAAAATAAGTCAACATGGTCTGACTGAGGGCACAAGCCACTCAGGTAAACACAAAAGAGGGACTGTTGCTGTAAGGAGACAGTTGTCACATCACGAAATTCTTAGGGCCCCCCAGTGAGGAAGTAAAATGCCAACGTTTTCCCACGGAGCTATCCTGCAACCACTGCTGAGCTTCTTAGACACCAAAAGTAGCACAAACGTAATTCCTTAGGAGGTTGCTCACCTCACTGCTCAGGACAGCGGGATGCTGGTGACCGAAATGTCCGTGGGTATACCTGTGTGTGGCGGGGATGAGGGTGACAGTCTTACATCGCAAAGAAGAAGCAGTCCTCACTAATTATTTGAAACATGTCTGGTGACCCTTACTTCTTAGAATGGCTGGTCACTCTGCATGGCTGTTTCCACCTGGACTGAACGTATCTGTGATTAAGCAGCTGCTGGGATGCAGCAGGTGCTGGGGTGACACCTACAGGGAGGGACCAGCCATCAGGGCCAGAAGCTGGGCTTCTGAGAGAAGCAAGCATGGCCCTGCATAGTTGCTCTTTCCTATCAGTTTCACCGGGGAATGATGAGGGGAAGAAAGCCGAGGAGTCGCCCCGGGACCTTTGATTCTTTCTCCAGACAAAATGCCCTTTTTAATGAGAGGCTCAGATCTCAGGGGCAAGTCTGACAGCAGGTTCAAGTGAGAGACCCGAACCCCTCAAAGCCATTAAGCTAAACCACTTTCCACTCCAGTCTCTAAACCATTCAAACAGTAGTGTGGGTGATAGAAAATGAAAGTTTCCCAGTTTCTTAATTGCTAAAGTTCCCCACCCAAAACAGCTTGAGGGAAGGTTAATTATGGTGACAGGTTAAAGAAACCCCAAACTCCTCAAAAGCCTCCTGGAGAAGCTGATGGGAACTTAATAGGATTTTAATCCAGACAGTCTTTTGAATGCTTAGTCTATTCTCCTGCTGCCTTCTCTCCTGATGACCTCAAATCCTTCTTCAACTCAACATGAAAGAGCATTAATATCGGCCATCGATCCATCTACTAATCCGTTTCCCTTTCCCTTTGAGTGTTCTGCATGACATTGCATTTAGTGGGGGGTGGTAAATGCCTACATGGAGACAGATTGCAGCCAGGGGAAGCAGACGGACATGGACACAGAGTTGCAGGTAGTCAGAAGTTAGGGGCACTGCCTTTTGAGAGACTTGCCTCTTTGTAGATGTTTCTTACAAAACTTTCTCCAAGTTGGGGTTGTTTAACAGGATATTGTATTGCAACAGTGAACTCAAATTTCCATTACAACTTTCTATTATATTCTGTACAAAAAGACTGCCTGATATCTATCTATCTATCTATCTATCTATCTATCTATCTATCTATCTATCTCTATCTATCTCTCATCTATCTATCTATGTATCTATCTATCTTCCGTCCTTTCACTGCTTCCCTATATGTCTGTTATATACACAAGTACATGTGTGTGCATATATGTATGTTTCATCTATCTTTCTTCCAATCACTGGTTTTCTCATATACTTATGTATAAACACAAGTATGAATGTGTGTATATGTATGTGTATCACCTATCTATCTATCTATCTATCTATCTATCTATCTATCTATCTATCTATCTATCTATCTAACCATCTCTGTACTATAGCTTATTTATCCATCTAGCCTAGAGCTAAGATTATTGATAGAAGACAAAAGAAACATTATCACGTAAGTTCTCCCCTCTTAGTCCAGTCCCCTGTAGGTTTCTCTTTTCTTCTTCAATATTGCTGCTCTGAAGCACCGTGCTGAGTAAGACAGATGTTTTAGATTCATTTAGGTTTTCTGTGGTCAGTGACAGGATCCCTTAAAAGGCTCTGCCCTTCCCCTCCCAGGATTTGACAAACTTGCACATGTGTGCCCGCCTACTTGTTTTTAAGAGGAGTAGAATGTTCAAAGGAGTCATGGTTCCCAAAGTGATAAGAGTCTTTAGGAGAAAGCTGCTTAGGGCTGAGTGGCCCAGATGGCTGGAGTTTCTTTAGTGTCACCACCTGCACCTTTATTTTTCTAACCCTGTCTGTCTATTCTGATCCAATTCTTGTCTTGTCTTCTTCCAACTGGAAACTTTCTCCCATGTATTTTGCTTTGTCCTGTGTATGACTTTCACAACCATAGCTGTATATCTCATGGTCCTACACCTGCAGGAGACCAAATATC